GATTTTCTTTGCATGGTTTCTCCTAGTGGATTGCGGTAAATAATGATGATACATTAAAGGAAACAATGTATTTTTCAGAAACGTCAACTTTTTCTAGCATTTAAGTAAACTGAAAGGTGTCTTTTAAACTATAGGCAGAAAAACTTTGAACAGATCGGTTTCAAATTACTGACTAACAAGAGGGCAAGCTTCTAAAACGAAGAACCAATCATTGATAATATTTGTCGTAGGGTTTTAAGTAGTTGATCAGAAACCGCGAAATATGATGAATTCATGTTATTCCATTACGTTAATGATTCTTGCTTAGTCGAATTTAACAACAGGAAAAATTGTATGGAATCTTAATTTTACTTACTACATAAACATGCTATTTAAGCTTTGTGTTCACATTCCTAATTTAATAAAACCACCGATAATAAAAGAAATTCCCTTTATTTCTTAAAAAAGTTGATTTCCTCCGTGTGATTTATTGAACTGTGACAATCCATATTAAGAATTTAGCTCATTCTCTTTTAACAATGATGGAATCAAACGTTCATCTTAGCTGACTAAAACAATATTCTACAGGATCATTAAAACTAGATATAATTTCCCTGATAAATATAAAATAAAACAAACAAATGCAAAAATTAGAGCGCCATAATAATAATATTCAGGTATAAAATTTCGTTGAACCGATGAAACAGAGAACCAATGAAATGGTTTTCAATCAAACAGAAGGTTCTTTTTTTTAAAAATATGACATCATTTCATGTTTATCAGTTTCTATCAACCGGTATGAAGTTGTAGAAGATGAACGAATGTTACACATTACTTACTTACTCCTGTTACTCCCAATGGAGCATAGGCCACCCACCAGCATTCTCTAACCCACTCTGTCCTGGGCCTTCCTTTCTAGTTCTATCCAGTTTTTGTTCATTCTTTTCATATCGGTCTCCATTTCTCGACGTAATGTGTTCTTCGGTCTTCCTCTTCTCCTTTCGCCTTCAGGATTCCATGTGAAGGCTTGTCTTGTGACGCAGTTGGGTGATTTCTTCAATGTAAGTCCTATCCACTTCTTCCTGATTTCTTCCTCCGCTGGAATCTGGTTTGTTATCTCCCAAAGTAGCTTATTGCTGATAGTGTCTGGCCAACGGATCCGAAGTATTTGAAGTATCCGAAGTACTGTTAATAAGCACTTGTAACTTCTGGATGATGGCTTTCGTAGTTCTCCAGGTTTCCGCCCCATACAGTAGAAATGTATGCCAAGGTTACACATTGGTTATCCAATAATACCTATTTTCAATCAGTATTATTTTATTTAGTTAAAATTTTCGATGTACTCACTGCAAAATTTAATTCTCTCTGTAAAAATTTAGATTAACTAGCAACTACCTCGAAAATCACCAAACATAACTGATATAAGTTACATTACTTAATTCTGATTTTTGTAGATATTTATGTAGTTCCAAGATGATTATTATCATAATGTAACTTTCATTAGAAAAGGATTGAATACGAAAAAATACCAGACATCTGTTTAGTTCAAGTCTTGCCTTCCAACCGAATTTCACAAGATTATATTTTCGATTGTGTCTAACAACGAAAATCAGGATACACTTCTCGTCCAATTTAAGACAACTCAATATTGATATCTACATTAGGATGTGAATCTAATTGATCATTATTAATATAGAAACTGGAATGAATTCATATCGAACTGAAATCGCCACACTTCACATCAATACAGTGACAACGAAAAAAAGCAAACATGATATTATATCAACTATATTTTGAATCCAGTAGTTAGGTTGATTACATTTTCTATAGTATACAAATAACATGGAAAACGACAATAAAATAGCCTCCTAGTTACTTGAAAAGAGCACATATACATATGCACAACCATGAATTAATTCTACCCAATCAATTAAATTGATCATTTATAACAATCAGGAGAAGACAAATTTTAAAAAAAACAATCAAAGCCATATAGTGTCCTCTATACACATAAATGTATCACTTATATACAATGAAATAAAACTGATAACAAACAAAAGGAAAAAGAATTTTGGAAAAAAAAACAAACCTTTTTTGACATAAAACAGACTTGATAAATATTATTTCCACAGTTGAAATCATGAGTCAAATGAAGCTAGACCACCATGGAAAACCTGGAAGCACTGGACGGCCGTTTCGTCCTATTATGGGACTCCTCGGCAGTACGCATCCACAAACCCGCTCTCGCGAGCGAGATTCGAACCCAGGACCTACCAGTTTCACGCCAGAGCCCTTAACCGATAGACCACTGAGCTGGCATCCGACGGTGTTAATGTCTAACTTCAACCAATCCACGATATTGAGCGACCGTTCACCAATTGTCTTCAGTGAGATGATATCTCTACAACAGACCTGGTAGAACTCCACTGGCCACTGCTTCCCACTAGAACTAAAGGAAATATCTCTTGAAGTCAGTCACTAGTGAGCATATGATTATAGATCAGAGGGGGTTTTGTGGAGAATTTAGTATTTTCACAGTTGAAATCATGAGTCAATTGAAGCTAGACCACCATCGAAAACCTGGAAGCACTGGACGGCCGTTTCCTTCTTATTATGGGACTCCTCAGCAGTACGCATCCACAAACCCGCTCTCGCGAGCGAGATTCGAACCCAGGACCTACCAGTTTCACGCCAGAGCCCTTAACCGATAGACCACTGAGCTGGCATCCGACGGTGTTAATGTCTAACTTCAACCAATCCACGATATTGAGCGACCGTTCACCAATTGTCTTCAGTGAGATGATATCTCTACAACAGACCTGGTTAAGGGCTTCGGCTCGAGACTGATAGGTCCTGGGTTCGAATCTCGCTCACGAGAGCGGGTTCGTGGATGCGCACTGCTGAGGAGTCCCATAATAGGACGAAACGGCCGTCCAGTGCTTCCAGGTTTTCCATGGTGGTCTAGCTTCAATTGACTCATGATTTCAACTGTGAAAATACTAAATTCTCCACAAAACCCCCTCTGAAATATTATTTCTACGATTATACAAGATCATCTCTACACATAAATCGATATTCTCCCCTTCATAATAAACAAATGGATTATTTGTCACACTGTGAAAAGATAAAACACTTGTATAAAAGAGAACAATGCGATAACAAGTGTTTGGCTAACTTCATTGGTTAAAATTATTTACAGTATATATGTGCAGTGCGTGTGTGTGTGAAAGAAAAAAAAAGATGTGGCTAAATAGTCAACTAGTTGAGTATTCTTAAACGGCATCTGACCATCTTAGTAGACAGTAGGACAAGATGAATCTAGTCATGATTTTTTTTCAAATATAACTAGAAAATGGTATTAAGTACATGAATAAGTTCGAAATAATTTTGAAGAAAAAGAAGTAGCAGTAGTAGTATTATTTGAAGAAGTTGGTAATGTTGAAGAGGAAGAAGTGAATGAATGAAATTTATTATAGTTTAATTCAGAACATGATAAACTCCGATTTCGTTGAAAAAGTAAATGATGATGATGACGACGACGATGATGATGATTTAATGAGGATCGTGTTTCTTTTACGTGATTACTAGTTGGTGATGATTTCTCTTCAATAACTAAACCTAGAATGACGGTTATGTCACCAGGAACTCCACCTTCAAAAAATGACAAATGTAAAATGGTGGTTGAATGTTAATACAAATTTAAAATATAAAATAGATTTTAATAAATCAGATCCTTATCAGGCTTTACTATAATATACAGTAATATTTATGCATATACGAAATTACTAAACCAATCAACGCAGTTTATGAGTCAATGATAACAGTGGAATAGATTACATAACTAAACATAACAAGTGAAAAGTACAAATTGGTAGTGTGATGACAGGTGTACTAGTAGTGATAAGAATAATAAAGGCTAGAATCAATGTTACATAATGGAAAATAGGTTAATGATTAGAAAAAAAAATTAAAATGACATTCATTAAAATTATAAGATTACGTTCAGGTAGTTGGACCGTGAAGCGAATATTTGAAAAATAAGTAAATAATTGGTGGGAAGGGTTGAAGAAAAACAAACGAAGAAAGAGTATGAAAAATAAAATCATTTATTAAGGCCAAGGGAGAGATAAGGGTGTTACAAATTTCTTGGGTCGTTGGCTCGAATTGCTATAGCTTCTGCTATATGTAAGAGACGAGATCGAACCACATAAGGGAAACTAGTAGGAATACGATAAATAACTTGAAATGACTTATAAGCAAAGATGAGTAGTAGCTAGCAGTGTAATCAAGGACGCGCGTTCCATCTTATTTGCGACTCGTTAGCTGGATGTACTTGCATCTCAGAGTTGATGCTAGGCACTATCCATCTTTGCTTATAATGCTTGTTTGTTGTTTCATTTAACCAGTGGAGTGAGACAGGGTTTCGCTGTTTCACCACTTTTCATCAACTTTGCCATCGATGATGTTCTGAAAAACAGCTCTGATGGATGTAGGTAATGTTGGTGTGGATTTTTTACATGGAGAACGAATTTTCAACCTTGAGTATACGGTGACCAAAAATAGGTTCGTACGCCATCTGTTTCCTCGGGATCCTGGAAACCATGTACACCATTGGTTCGGAATCAGGGTTTCCTAACTCCCCTAGATGGATCTTCCGAATCCACCAACCCGGTTAGAGAGCTGGACACTCGCTTTTCGTCCTCTTAATTTCGTAAACAACACCCCCGCTGCGAGAAGGTAGTGAGTAGGACTTCCCTAGTATTGGTTGTATGCACGTGGCCATGTGAGATCATTCAGAGAGAGAGCTGACACTCCCCATTCTCGGACATACTAGAACATTTGGGAACCCTAACTGAACTGTTTTTCCCATTATTATTGTTATTATTATTATTATTATTCTCCTCTCATACATTAATTTCTGTTCATTGTTCTTCTTTTGTTATTATACACACTTTATATTCCCTATCCATGAACAACCTCATTGTTATTGTGTGGCGCATATGTATTTTGTGCCCCTTTATACCAATGTTTATGTGTTCAAATAAGTAATAAGACTATTAGACACCTGTATAACATTTAACTGTTCTATATTATGTAGCCAGACTTCTTCTTTGAATAGAAAGTGACTAACATAGTTTATAAACCCAATCAAGAACTTTAGGTATGGATTACTTATTTGCATATGGTTTATGATTGGTAATCTGATCACGTCATTTGTTAAATGCTTACACACAGTCAAAAACGTCAGAAGTGAGACAGTTACCCACCGATATTGGGCTATATCGAGAACTACTAACTGAAATTGGTAATGTGAACCATCAAATACTAGCTCATTAATCCAAAGGAAGCATACATCACATGAAGCTCACAGAATTTGAGTCTGATCCTTGATGGGTTTGTAGGTGTATAGTGTTGAGAAATTCTAATCTCAGCCAATCAAAAACAACATAGAAACTGGCACATTTGTGTGTTGGTTCAAAAACGAACTAATGCGTCGTATATTCGTCTTCTAGTTGATGGATGGACATCTTGCCTATATCGCAGGCGTTGCAAGTAGGCAAAAACCAACCGAACTTTCCGAGATCGGGTTCAAAAGTTCTAACCTAGGACAAGACGGATGTTTTCAGTGTTTGCTGTTTCTTATTGGTTACTCCTCAACTAAGGTTAGCTCGTGATGTAAACAATTACAAAATCTAACGAATCTCTACAACCATTCAATTAAACAAAAATGATTAACTTTAGAAGACAATCATATTTCACTGTTTCTATTTCAGGTACATAGGAAACATTATAACCAATTTTTTGAAAGGCAATCAGTGTTGACATACTTAAAAATAAAAACCATATAATGAACTGTCAAGAAGTCTATAATTGTCATGAAACTTGAGAAGAAAGGTTTCGAAATACTTGATCAAATATTTTAACATCAACTTTAATTGCTGTGATCTATATTTACTTAATACATAAAAGTAGAATTATGAAGTAGGCTCCAAATGAAGTCTACCACGCAAAATATTTTACTCATTGTAAGGAAATGAAGAATAGACAGAATAACTGGGAGAACAGCAGTTACACAAAGTACTCCTCAAGAAGTCATCATTAAAGTTTCTTACATGTTAACTGACTTCAAATCTGTGGAATAAGCATATCAAGCTTAGTCACTATAACGGAGAAGATATTATACATATTATACACTCAGTTACCAATTTAACAAACATAAACTTGTGTACTCTCCTTTAAATCTAGATGTTAAGCCTGGTGATTGAGTCAAATTCCTTCAACTTCTAACGTGTATAAAAAAAAGACCAACGAATAAATAATAGAAAAAAATACACTTCAGTTTGATAAGAATAGAGATTAAGTCCAACTGACCTGCAATGTTTATACCGTAACGACGTGCTTCACTAGCGAATGGAGAAACGAAATCAGGAGCGAACGCAGCACTTCGAGCTTGCTCTACAAGACGTGTAGCACACTGTTTTAAACTATCAATTGTACAGTTTGGAAGTAACTGGAAAGTAGTAATAGAGAAAATAGAGTTGGAAAACAAGTCTATGATGTATCTATCTAAACGTTGACTTTCTATCCGACAAATAATCATAAAATAAATTTCCGGATTTTACACTGACTTCGACATACAATATAAATTTAAATATTATTCACATTGAGAGTTACTTAGGACATATACTAACAGCCTAAGGAAGAAGCTTCACTAGCATCATAGCAACAATTGATGGAGGAAAACCGTGATAGTAAGTCGAGTGAAAAATTTCATTGAAAATCAGGTTCAAGATCTAAACTTAAATAAAATTCTAAAACCAGTTGATGTTATGTAGTTTGAATTTTTATTTTGTTGATGAACATATATGATCTTGGTCTATCACCACAACAACGTCAAATAAATACCATACGATGGTAGTAATTGTTCAAAAGCAGCTGAAATAATGGCGGATCAACTGGAGCGACTCTCCTACGATTAGTTTTGTTTACGGTTAATTTTGTCAAACCCCTCAACTAACTCACTTTACAGGCAGTACTCCAAGACAACTGTAAGGCTTGGATTTGAGATAATCCCTTAGATTTAGTTTATCAATCACCCTGATAACCATTATTAAATAAATCCCAACGGTGTAAGAATTCAGAAAGCAACAAGAAGCGGAGACTACAGTTTGTTATTGGACAGTACAGATAACAAAGTTACAGGTACATCGAGCAAATTGGAGCAAAAAGGCAGATGCGCACAAGCAAGCGAATACAGAGTCAAATCGAACCAAGGCGAAGCGAAGCAAGGCAAAGAGAGGCAATTAATAGGATTCGAGCACATATATATGTGAAGGAGAATGATTTATCAAGAGATATTGAAGTGATTAACATTTAAGGTAGAGTGAGAAATAGGTGTGTAGGTGTCACATGCGATCAAGCATACACATATATACAAACTTGATATTGATCACAATAATGCAATGAAATAGACGAATTGTTACTGTTTGAATAACATTGTCTGTTAAATAAGTTCATTGAAGCGCTCGACAAAATCACTCACAATCAAAATTAATTGTAGGAAAGTTGCTATAACGGTATTGATTTCTGCTTATTTCGATTGGCCATAACTATATTTTTACATCCATTGATAGATTCACGCGATGGCCTGTAGCGGTACCGATAAAGGGTACCCCAGCCGAGTCTGTAGTCAAAGCCCTAATCGAGAATTGGATTCAATATAGAGTGCGACCAGCTATACACTTACACGTGACTCAACAAACCTTTTTGTAGAAGATTGAATAATCCAACTAGCAATCGGATCACAAGGGTTATAACCAATCTATAGAGGCAAGATATGGTACTGTTTACACCAATAAAAAAAATTGATTAATATCCTAACATTCCCTAAAAATCGGTCACAGCTTGTTATACTAAAAATACTCGATTTCCTTCCAATTAACTATACGAGTCTGGAAATTTCTGACGGTTTTCCAATACTTATGTGAAAACGAAATATCTCATTTATCTTCAAATGAAAAAGTTGATAATATCTTCCATACAAATACACACAGCTTACCTCAATGGTTTTTACCTCTTGCAATATCATTGACTCTGTCAAATTATCGAACAAGCCATCTGTGCCCACGATAATTATGTCACCTGGTTTGACTTCTACAGATGTTTGGGCAGCTTGATTAGGTCTATAAAATATTTTAATACATATAAGTTGATATGGAAATACTTAAATTATCAAAAGCATTGACAAATCAGTAATGACTATATATTAACTAAGAATGAGACAAGAAACAAATTTTGGGTAGGAAACCACCAAACTATTTAGGAATTATAATATCAATGATAGTGATAACCAAACATTGAATAGTTTTTTTACATGATTAAAAAGACTTTTAGATCAAGCAAACACCGGATATTATTTTCGATCCCGTTAGGATTTTTGTATTGACAAATAAATAAGTTCATTTAGCAGTGGATCCCGTTTTATTTACAATCACCAGTCGATAATAGTCAAATTGTTCACTATATATTTTATGGTTCTCGAAAGTCATTTACGTTTCGAGACCATTCTAGTAGTTGGGAATATTTAACATCTATGTTATATCTTGTAAGTTGAACGCTATATTCAGATCCTAAGCTATTCGGATAACCCCAGGCTAGTACTACTCTGCGACTTGAACACCAGTAAGAAGACACGAGTATGAGAGAAGTACTTTACTACAAGGTTCATTTATGTACAGAAAAACAGGGGTTTTATAGTAATTAAAAGACCTTGAGATTCCATAGTAGCAGTATGTTAAACAGCCAATCAGGACCTCGTTATTTTAGTAGCATAGCTTCTAATTAATCGCTGATTGGTTGGGCTCTTTATGAGCCCCTGGAGGCTCTGATAGAGTTTACTGTAAGCCGACTTAACAATCTACCAGAACCAAATGTATAGTTTAAAAAGGTTGCACAAAAACAAAATATTCTTGAACAATTGGATTCAACTGAGTCAAGTGATCAGTTTTTACCTCAAAAAACCTCTACGCAACGTTTTTCCCGCTTCCTTGATCATTATAGAAGAAGAACAAACGAGATTACAGTATAAAATAAACCCATACTTTATTTCGTCATGAAAACCAGGAAACTGACCAACATTCAAATATCACTCAACGCCAAGAGACAGTGCCTTAATTAATTTATAACCATGTTCATTTTTTTAAACTTCTGTATGTAAGCAAGTTTCTTATTTTATTGGAAAAGAATACAGTTGTAATTGTGTGATTAGTGGTTTAATCATTCTGACTGTAGTTTAACCGACAGATTACAAACGAGTATAACGAGTCAGTAGATCCAGTCTTGTGAACAGTTATGGTGACATAAATAAATCAGTAATCTATTTAAAACATGTTGATAAAAAATCATAACTAGTAACTTATAACACATCCCAGTTTTTCTTATATTATATCTATGAATAGTCTAAAATATGATGACGGCTAATGAAACAAAACAAACCTTTGTAATTAAGTAAATTAGTCAACCTGTTAGTTTCCTGAACACGTCTATTGTACTTCAGCTATATATTGCCAGGTCATAGACTTCTTACTACTCGAATAACAATTGTCACTTGTTTTGGTGCACAAGTCGCTTTGATTCTTAACATATCAACTTGTTTGTACTTAACGTGAAGATGGGGTATATTATTGATTCATTGTATTTCACTAAACGTTTTTAATGATAATTAGACACCCGATTTACTAAATCGTAATCTTTACTTTACAATGGTCTACGAATATTAGACAAGGAACTTTATATGATATAATCGTCAGAACATGAAGTGCATGAAACTGGAAAATTTGGAAATACCTTTCTATGACAAATATGATTGTCTAGAAATGAGGTAAATATTCCTGATTTAGATGTTTCTAATAAATTTTCAAACCAAAACAGTGTTTGCTAGTATCCGAAAACTGAGTCCCAACTACTTTTTTAAATTGATAAATCAGTTTAAATATCCATACCAATCAAAAGATTCCCCATTTAAACAACCAGTTGTATTGTTTTCAATTTTTTCAAACTTTCAATCATGAATAGACTATTAACAATATTAATACACTATACCATGAAGTATGCAGAATACAACCTATGAATTACAATTTCAACGGTAATGTGACATATATTCATCCAATATTTAGCTAACTAGACAAATTTATTTCCAAAGACTCGGTATGCTAGCATTGTAACTAAACTAAACTTAAAATTTATACGAATATTCGTCAAGGTTAGAACGAATAGTTTGACAATAATTGGGCGCCGAGTATAGAGAATTCATTATATGTTAAAAAATTATATTTGAAATAGTCTCAGCGATTGAAATATATAAATAATTCCAACGTTTCGTCCAGCTAACTTGTCTGGACTTCTTCAGGGAAATAATCAAAATCAAAATCATCAAAGAAATATATAGTGTGTTTTTAACAATCATATCAAAATCTCTACTACTTTTTAATCCAACCATATTTGGATGTCGAATTTTTGTAAACAGGATGATATGAGTCAGTTGAATGAGAATCAAGTGAAAAGTTCAACGATGTGAATTAAAGGATACTGCATAAATTGTGTGTATGTATGTATGTGTAAGATGAGTTATTAATGAATGATATTCAGTGTTGATATGTTTCTATGTGAAGTAAAAATAAGAACAAAAGTGCAAAATGAAGGTTGAATCATCGAAATTGCAAATAAAATGAGAATCATCTAGTACATAATTGTAATGCTAAACATAACTCACATTGATTTCAGTCATAATAACGATTCATGTGAAGTAGACAGGTTGAATAAAAGAAAAGGTTAAATTACTTGTTGATGAATATTTGCCAAGTGGTAGCTAGCTGAATACCATCCTTTCTGTTTAGGCTGTTCTTATTCGCCCATAAATACAGCGCTTCTGCTGTCAATCTTTCTTTATGAGTGTTGAATCCTTTCTGAAGTATTATGGCCCCTTCAAAATTAATCATGTGTCCCGTTTCCAACGCATGTAACGCTATTGTAGACTTATTCTCAAGTTTCCTTAAGTCAACCGAAGTTTTGGGAACATTTTTTAAACATTGTTTGTGTTCCTTCAACCTTACCTTCAATTGTCTGGATGTTTCTCCAATATAAGCCGCATTACAATTATGACAATTGATCTCATAGACAATATTTTGTTGTTCTTCCTTTGGTAACCTATCCTTAACCTTCACCAATGACGATCTTATAGTGTCACATGTTCTAAAATACACTCTTATATCATGCTTGTTTAAGATCCGTTTGATTTCTTCCGATGTTTCACTACGGTATGGTATGACTACAGTGGACTTCCAATCTTTCTGTACACATTGTAGTTTAGCTTTTCTTTCCTTTCTAACAATTTTCTTTAAAAACTCTTTAGGGTAGTTGTTATCCCTAAGTGTAGATAAAATCCTATTCAATTCATATTGTTGGTCTTCCTTATCTGTAACAAGCTTAAGACTTCTGTTAATTAAATTTTTAACAACCGTAACTTTCGTACATAAAGCATGAGCCGAATCAAAATCTAAGTATCTCTCTGAATGTGTTGATTTTCTGAAAACGTTTATTTTCAACTTCCTATTATTAAGTCTTCGCTCAACCATACAGTCGAGAAATGCCAGTTTGTGTTCAATAGACTCTATTTCCTTCGCTAGATTAATTTGTTCCGAAACGTTGTTCACATTTGCAAACAATTCTTTCGAATAGTCCCGTTTAATGATAACAAAAATGTCATCTACATACCGTAGCCAGACCTTTGGTGGACAAACACTTCTTGCGATTGCACTAGTTTCGAGTGAATGCATGAATAAATTCGCAACAATCGGAGAAACTGGTGAACCTATAGCTATACCTTCTTTTTGTCTGTATAGATCTCCTCGAAATATGAATAAGGTGGACCTTAAACATAGTTCCAAACATTTTATAAACTCAGATGGATCTAACGGGCAACGTAAATTTAAATCCAAATCAGATTATAAACAAGCATAAATAATATCCAACGCTCTGCTGATAGGTATGTTAGTAAATAAGGAAGAAACATCAAAACTTGCCATTATTTCATCCTCTTCTATGTCGATGGTATCAATAATATTTTTAAATTCCATAGAGTTTTTAATTCCATGATTAATCAGTTTTCCATACAAATATGATTGGATCAAAAGTAGTAGAGATTTTGATATGATTGTTAAAAACACACTATATATTTCTTTGATGATTTTGATTATTTCCCTGAAGAAGTCCAGACAAGTTAGCTGGACGAAACGTTGGAATTATTTATATATTTCAATCGCTGAGACTATTTCAAATATAATTTTTTCACATACAATAAACTTTAAATGTTTCTTTTCATCTGCTGTAATTGAAGAAGAAAGCATAACTGTTGTACATATGGAGAACAGACCGATATATAATCACCATGTACACATATTGGGACTGAACTCAATAACCAGATAAAAATTATCGATTGCCCACGTTGGCCTGTGAACCAAGGACGACTTTGAACTAAATCGGTTTTTGGAGGTTGATCTGCTGCCCAGCTACCTAAACTGAGTACTACAACCAGTAATCCAATATTCCACATGAACAATGGACAGTTAACTAGTATTCCCTCATTATTATCAATAACTGATATACCAAGAGATTGTCTTAAAAAACTTATTTCAGTCGACAATGCTAATCAAAATGAGGAACTACACCTGTCTACCAATCTTTTAAATGTAAAACTATGGTATCTTGGTCTGAGTATTTACTCTCAATTATCCCTTCAGTCTCAAACCCACGCAGAAAATAGACTATGTCACTCTAGATTGCTAGGTATTGTTGTGAAAGTTTAGTTTATGGATTTCTACCCCAAAACTCTACATCATTTCTTGATTTTAATTACATTGAAAATTATGCAGTAAATATTATGTGCTTATTATTTAAATTAGGACTCAAATATTTAAAAATCAAAAATGTTATTATAAACCTACAAATCACAATGAAAACGTCTTGAGTGAAGCGTAGGTGGACAAGACAACTGGAATGGTGTATTAAATGAATGCTTCTGGTGGACTGAACGTTGAATCACATGTCCTTCGCGTATAACTAAATAGCCACTGTCACCTAGACTAGCGCCATAAACTCTATGTTCATTACGTTGTAATGAAACTATGCATAGGGTTGCGCTACCTATAATAATAGTATTAATATTAATAATAATAACAATAATAATAATAATAGTATATGTACTCACTAAACTTAGATGTACAAGAGAATATGATGAACCAATGATACACAAGTGTTGATGTATCTTGAATAAACAACTTTTATTGGATTCCATAACGTTTCAAACACAAGAGAGCTACATATATGGTGTTTATGATATCAATACCATATATTGTTCATTTCACAACCCAATGGTTGAGAGGTGAATGTCAATCTTACTGACTGAGCTCTAAATGTACCTTGGGCCATTCAAGAAGCGACTTTTTCGCATACATTTAGTTCACTGAACCTTACAGAGGAGAAATTGTACTACATTTTATGTGAAGGCTGTCATTAATTATTATACTACTTAAAATAGATTACACAGTTTTGTTTCAAATAAACGTCTTCAGTTTAACTATAAAATAAAACCTAGAGACAAAAAAAGTTTCCGCATATATATACCAAAACAAAAATAAAAAACTATTAGCTAACGCTTTGATATCTGTGTTTATAACATTGTTAAAATTGAGTTTTTTGGAAGTAATCTAAATAGCAAACATTTGAACAATACATATCGTACTCTGGCCTTAATTTTATCACATTTATAGCCTTCCATATGACTAATTATCATATACCTGCATATTATTGAGCATGTTAATGATTAGTCTACATCTTTTGTCTTTGAAGCCCATCTAAATTTAATTTCCGGAAGTTACGAACACGAAAATGAGTATCTAGTATGATAGAAATAGGTGAGAGACGGACACCAGCACAAACGTACTCCAAGTTTATAAATGAACACAATCGCTTTAATTGATAACTACTTGCCCCTTTATGGGTGTTGTTTTGTAAACGATCAATAATTAGGTCAATCGTAGATAACGAAAGAACTAATGTGACTGTTTTTCGGTTCAAGTTGCTGTATAATGTATCACAATAATCAGGTCAATTTACAAAATGAAAAGTGAAAATGAGTAGAAGAAACAACAGTTAAAACAGAAACTACACAAAAGAAATATAACGCAGCAAGAAAAAGCTAAGTAGTAGAATGAAAAGCATGGAATTAGACTGAAGATTTAATGGAAGATAATGAATAAATATATTTACGCAAGTGCAATTGATTTTGAGTCATTTCATCACAATAATATACAGAAATCACCATAGATACAGTGACTGAGACAGAAAAGGCAGAACAAAAATCTTTTGAAGCCAATAAGTACGTTCAAAGCTGCAGAATTGTTCATACATGAAAGACGGATTACTTCATTATAAAGGACTAAACTTATATTCCAACAAACTAAAAACACACTGAATTTACGGCAATACTGCCTGAAAACCAGTTTAGACTTTTCAGTTACGAGTTGAAATCTTTCTCGACTACTTAATATTGGGCACTTATAATTGACTAGTGATCATTGAATAATGTAGCATGGTTATCCATATGCTGGGTGAGTTAAATAGTTGTCATAAACTCACAATCAGCCTACAAACATTCTAATTCGTTTAGGTAGGTCACGTTTTTGATCCAAAGTGGCCTAAAGCAGCAAATAAAGAATACAGCTCGTCAGTCAGTCAGCCACAATATGGGACCAGGCATATTTATGCATCAGTCCAAGTTGCCATAACATCATCAGCACAACAAGATGAACACCGAATTCATAGTAGTTACTTCAGTGGTAGTAATATATAAAAGATGGATTATATATAAGGATATAGTACAGGAAGGAAAATGTGAAGCAATTTTAGTCTCATAGTTTAAGGGAAGACAGAGTGTATACACCTACGCCATTGTGATCCATTCTGAGCCATGTCACACAGTCTCCAGCCATTAGTTACGATAGTCACGCGGACCCCAACCAGGTAGTCTGAATATACCAACGTAGCTCAGACTATAAGTTAGTGACTTCAAGCACTGATGCCATGTTTTGGTTTGGCCTCCCCTAACTCTCTTTCAACCATCGCCAATACTAGTCAGCGTAGCGCGTCGTGGTAATCGGTGTTCAGGCATACTTAACACGTGGCCAAACGATCTCAGTCGATGAAGATTCATGAACTCATCAACTGATTTAACATCATTTCCTAATACCCTGTGTTTAACCTCACCATTAGTTACCCGGTGATCCCAGTAGATGCAAGCAATATTCCTAAGACATCTGTGGTCAAATACTAGTAACTTACGAGTATCTTCTACTCTTAATGGCCATGTTTCACAGCCGTAAAGTAGAACAGAGCGAACTGCTGCGCAGTATACTCATCCCTCAATTGATAGACGGATATCTCACATTTGCCATAGATGAAGTAAGTTGGTAAAGGTCAAACGAGCTTTTTGAATCCATACACACATTTCGTCAGACACCAACCCATTAGGGCTGATCAGATTGTCAAGATAAGTGAAGTTGTCCACGTGTTCGACTGCTTCACTCCCTATCCTTAGTTCAGGTGTTGACGCAGGCCAGTCCTGGAGTAACAATTTACATTTAGATGGGGAGAAACGCATCCCAAACATCCTGGCATTATTACTTAGTTCCAATAGAAGACTCTGTATTTTGCCAGTGTCTTCACCAAACAGGACTATGTCATCTGCGTATTCTAAGTCGCTTAATGGACCCCCTGGTAGGAGATCAATTCCTGAAAATTCAGTCGACGAGAGTGTTATTTCCGGCAATAGGTCTATGATGAAGTTAAACAAAAATGGGGATAGTGGACAACCTTGTTGGACACCACTTGAGGTTGTTAAATCAGATGACAGTTCGCCATAAGCTTTCACTCGACAGGTAGTGTTCGAGTAAAGAGCCTTTACAAGGTTTATGTACTTCTCAGGGTCAAACGAGCTTTTTGAATCCACGCACACATTTCGTCAGACACCAACCCATTAAGGCTGATCAGATTTTCAAGATAAGTGAAGTTGTCGCCGCATCCAACTACTTCACTCGCTATCCTTAGTTCATATGTTGACGCTCGCAGTTAACAACAAAACAGTTCCAAACAATACTTTCTATTAAATGTCCATTACGGAAATGGGTTTTTTTATATCATTTTAGTTGCGATAAAAACTTGGAATTACAATAAATTGTTTTTACTGATGAAAAATATCAGACCATAAATAAAGAGATAAGTGGTCTAAAGTTGGAATAAAACCTTATCTTAAACTTAAGTCCAAGAAATTGAGTTAACCAAAGGCCATACGTCCAAAATTTTCAAAATTATTTGTACTTCTCAAAGTAACACAACGACAAGAGATAGCTTAGTGACTTTTTAATTCAAGGTATTTAGGAAGAGACTAAACTTGTTGTCAAAATAACAACGAAACATATGGAACAGACAACTATAAACGACTTATCATACCCAAAATAAGTTCCTTGGAATTTAGTACATCTTCATAGCATTGGGCAATTAAAACTTCTAGCTTGTCGGGAATAAAACGACCGGAATTTACAACACGCTCACAATTTTTCATAACTGCTCTAGAGAAACGACCAGGATCAACTCCGTATGACCGCCAACCACCAACACCATCAGCGACACCTGGTTAACACAAAACATAACATTTTGAGTGAAATAAAAACAATAGAGGATTTGAAGATAAGGTAGACTGGTAGGACAGTCTTATGCTTAGTGCCCGAAATATACTTTGAGATTTGGGCAACAAAATATCTTCCACACCAAATACAATAGATGCACTTAAAAACTGGGCTTGTGATTTAATCCACTGCCAACAAGCTGCAATCTGGTGTATTTTGATGCTTATTTAAGTAAGGCTCAAAATAAAAAGTGGGGAGAAAATGAGCGGAATTAAAAGTACAGGGAAAACTAAGACTTTAGATCGACCAAAAAAATTCAGGTACATTAATTATTTACACATTCCCACACAATATCTACTATGAATTGGCAGGGGCCAAAGCCAAAAGTGATGATGGGGTACAACAAACGAAAAGACCCATAATCTGGAAAAATGAACGGTACACATCCCCGTTTCACCTACAAACGAAGAAGCGTGCATAACGTGAACAGCACCAGGTTCTACATTTCTTTATTTAAGTACCAAGTAGTTACAGTGTAAAAATATATTTATGCACAAGTATTAAACAAACATTTAGTAAACCATCATAATGCGATCAAGATGTAACACGATATACTATTCAGTCTCTCTTCAGTATGGGATTTCTGGAAACTCTGAATATTCAATCAATGTTTATTACGTACCACACATGCTCAGAAAACATGTTACAATATTTAAAATAACTTTTGGTTACATTTTACGTTTACCTTAGTTACTGATGCGTTTTATGATGAAAAACTTGCATCCTAAACGAACGCGAGTAAACCGTTCAGATCCAATGGAAGCTTAAGAGGACTTGCATAGTCAGAACATATGTAAAAAACAAGGTAATACTTAGCTATTGAGGAGAGGATTGTCAATAATTTAAGTATATCTCTCGAATTAAGTTAGCCATCTTAGGGTCTATAAATAGTTACTGAGAGAACTCTAAGACGTAGTAAACTGTGCGCAAATGCCATAATATCCAGTTAAGTCGTTTGTTTGAACGATACGACTTACCTAAGACGTACGAAGAATCTGTTATTGATAAGAAGCAAGCATCATCCCCGTAAACCCATTTTGGTGAAATTCTCGTTGAATATTTCGTGTGCTTATTGTCGTAACCGGCAACTGCAGTAAGAAGACACAACCTTACTCTCCTTAAAAATGCCTCGGAGTTATTATTACTTCCCCCAACTTTAGACACAGGACGAAATAGGGAACGAATTTGAGACATTAAACTGCTCATGACTGTATATCCATGAAATTGACTAGATTGTATTGTAGGTCGTTTTTTGCTTAGATCGAAACAAGGTAAAACTGACAATAGTGATGAAACTTTGCCGACGAATCACTCATCGTTTATGCAACAAGTTATTCATTTGCAGTGTGAAGGTCGCTACAAAACCATTATTGGCAACTAGTGAGCTAAAACGTAGCTGAAGGTCAAGTACTCTTCATTAGAGATAATTTTGTGTGGGATGTCCGAACCGTTTCTCAGTTGCCAAGACTCAAATTTGAAGATCAATTTATCTGTGATATAGTTAAGATCATGAGTCAATTGAAACTAGACCACCGTGGAAAACCTGGAAGCACTGGACGGCCGTTTCGTCCTATTATGGGACTCCTCGGCAGTACGCATCCACGAACCCGCTCTCGCGAGATTCGAACCCAGGACCTACCAGTCTCACGCCAGAGCCCTTAACCGATAGACCACTGAGCTGGCATCCAACGGTGTTAATGTCTAACCTCAACCAATCCACGAAATTGCGCAACCAACTTCCAATGTACTGAGGTAGATACCTGTCTCTACCTGACGTGGATTAGCTCCACTGGCCACGACTTCTCACTAGAACTCCAGGAATTACCTCAAGGAGCCAGTCACTTGTGAGCACGGTGGTCTAGCTTCAATTGACTCATGATCTTAACTATAAAATTACTAAATCTCCACAAAAAACCCCATTGTGATATCTGATATCTTCAGGTGAATGCCTAATAAATACTAAAGCAAAGTTTGGAAACTAATTAGAAACAAACCATGTCTAGAATCCCTATCGATAACAGTAACATGCGTTAATTACGGTTGAAGCTCATGTGATAATTTTAGAAGAATCAGACTACCGATTTTCTCAGTCTATTTAAGGTATCTCAATAGTCCGCGTGATATCAGTATTGGGAAGTTAAGATTGTCAAGCTTTTCATTGCGATCGTAAATCGATCAAATTTTACCACCACTGAAGACCTTAAAGCAGTGGAAGGTCGGTTCGTCTTGGTAGGGGATTCCTCAGCAATGCTTGTTCAAGATCTCGAGCACGGGTATCGAATTCAGTACCTTCAGTCTCTCACGTGAACGCTTAACCTCAAGACAACCAAGCAGGCATTGAACATTATTAGCGTCTAACTTCAACTGGTCCACTAAATTGTCTTCGGTGGGTAAATACCTCACACCTGGTACGGTTGAACTCCACTGGTAACCATTTCTCACCAGAACTCGGAGAATAACCTATGGATTCTAGTCCGTGTCGGTTGTGGGGCAGTTATCCACCGAAGGCAGTGAGAGATAGTCGCACAGTTTCGTGGACTGGTTGAATTTAGACGCTAACATTGTTGAATGCCGGCATGGTTGTCTTGAGGTTAAGCGTTCACGTGAGAGACTGAAGGTACTGAATTCGACACCCGAGCGCGAGATCTTGAACTAGCACTGCTGAGGAATCCCCTACTAGGACGAACCGGCCGTCCACTGCTTCCAGGTTTTCAGTGGCGGTAAATATTGAAAGATTCACAATATCGGTCAAGCTGATTGAAAACCAGGAATTTTTTTGAAAAATAGAACGTATTATAGTAAACAGTCACTTTCAATGTTCTTTACACCTAGCCTTACGTTTACAGATAAAAAGTTAGCGTTTCTGTATTAAACTTAAACTGTGAGGCAAAATTAGAGTTCTATTTATTCTTTAGGACTTCTCTGAGTGTGTAAGTGCATTCTCGATTCACATTCACATTCTGACTGGTGTACTAAGGATAGAACGATGGTATATTACGTAATTCCTTTTCTAGTAAATTTCTGTGATTTTCTAGTCCTATGTTGAACGGTTTAGTTGATAGTCTGGATATCACTCTTTCGTGCATTGGGTTCTAAGTGTTGATGACTATGTGTGAAAATCTGTCTGCAACAAATAATTTGTTTGTTCTTGGCTCGTAGACATATTTGGCCGGGTCGATAGTTACCAATTATGCTTAATACTAGCCAACTAAAAAGTCTACGTCGACCTGCGATGCACATCCCTCCGAATCCCCCGTCACTTTTTGTTAAGTATTGATATAAACAGCATAAAGTAGCAGCGAAGACTGTAGTGACTCCACCTTGCTAATCAATCACTTAGATAACCGTTATTTTATAAAACTCAACAGTATTTGAAATCAGGAGGCAATAAGAAGCGACCTATAGAAATTATTAGAGGATAACACAAACAAAAAAGTTCTAAGCACATCGAGATAATTTGAAACAGAAAGGCGGATGTGTAAGCGAATAAATACCGAAGCAAATTTATAGTCAAATCGAACAAGATGCAGCTTAGAAAGGCAGAGGCTAATAATAAGATTTGAGCATATATATATATATATATATGGGAAGTAAATGATTCGGCGAGTGATATTTGAGTTATCAACATTTTACCCAGGGAGAGACATGCTCATAGGCCGTCATATGATCAAGCGTAGAAGTTTACGCAGATTTGATACTGATCATAATAGTACAAAGAAATATGCGGCTTATTATTGTTCAAGTGAAATTTTCTGTCAAGTAAGTCGATAACAGGGCTCAACAAAAATGCAACATAATCGAAATTGAGTGCATGAGAATTGCTATAAGACTGAGCAACTCGAATACTCATGTAGGACATGTAGGACAAAAAGTAAAGGACAAAGCGCAGAGCCTTGAGGCATAGCATTGAGTGTCATGATTCTTGTCATATTCCTTCAAGAAACTGAGAGGCAAGATAAATTAGTTGACGATAGAAGTGATCATGAAGTGATCAATAGAGTAACATCACTCATTTGTTGTGGAACTTCTGTTAACGCCAAGCAACTTTTTGACAGATTCAGAAGAACACGTCTAAGATAGAGTGCTGTATAGAGAGTTAAATAACCTACTAATTCAAACTTTATTACTACTTGTGTGGATTTTTATTTATCCTTCATAACACGTGATGAAAAGTCAAGATTAGATCGATTTACTCATCATGATTTTTGTTCAATATTACTTCCGTTTTAATTCAGTGTGATAATTACTCAATGTGGCATTTTTCTCAGTTTTCCATTGTGATTTTTTATTCTGTATATACCCAGCATGACATGTAGCATGTGATTTGTTATAACTGTAACTATTTCTCATATATGTAATTTCATCCCAATTATTAAACAAAATGGATGTCTGAATGAATATAGAAATGGGTTTAACTTCTACTAGGGTTATCGTCGTGTTTTGGGTTTAATAAACCTTCATTTATACCAATCTTTGTGTTCTTATTTTTGCGTTGTTGGAATTGCAGTGGTTCCTCACTTTACAAATATAAGTGATAAGTGATTCCGACATAACAATCAGCAACGACTAGATATAACAATTGGCGAAGCAATCATCACAATTCACTTTCTCTTCCTATATCAAGTAGATGCCCCCTCAAGTGTAGACATATCAATGGTCTTTTGGAGTCACGGGACTTTTAGGAATATCGTAGATCATCGGAACACCCTCCAAAACCCTCGTTCGCATCCTTGATTTTAAAGCCGCATCTTAAAGGCATGCTATGTTGGGTTTTCTAGTTCAAATGTGTTCCGTCGTTGACATTTGAGCATGTTCGAAGATAGTTATCCATTTTCTAATGTTGAAGGACACAGAAATAATATTTTTCCAGATGACATCTTGAGGAATATTAATATATTTCTTCAAGGCAAGGTACACACCATTTTCACAGATATGATCTATAAGTTACAACATTTATAGGTTCACACTATGCATCCCAAGCAGAATTGTCATGTGAATATCAGTGCATTCGTCCGGATATACTAATTAGTCTTCAAAATATATTTTGGTCTAGCTACGTATTCATGCAATGCAACTTTTTAAGTTTATAGTTGTTATAAACTGGACTTGTGGAGCTCTTGGTGTGAACTATGACCTTGGGCCAACGCGTACGTCGAGTTTGTTCCTGATGTCAGGAGTTCCATAGCTTTGCCCTCAAACCAAATTCTGAAAAGTAGAGAATTCCTTCTGGCAGGAACCAGTTGGTGCGGCGGTCACATGTCCCCCAGTGCAACATGTGAAGGAAGCGACTACGTACGACCTGAAGATAACCTTCCCCTCCTCCCACTTGGCGGCTGAAACTCTGGAAGCATTTCGTGCCAATAGACGTCGGTTGCCAACTGGCATCCATATGCATCCGGATAGGCCCCACGACAGCAGGATCAAGCACAAACGAAAGCTGGAGCTGACAATTCCACTCGTGGACTGTCTTGATCATAAAAAATCGTGTAAAGGACAGGGACTACCAACTCGGTAAACATCGTATAGGTAGGCTACCTGTCCACTCACACACGGCTCATATAGACAAACAAGAAGAGGCTCACGCGTTCCAAATTGAAAGCATAAACTGCATATACACGAACGCCGCGAGCTTGCCAAACAAAATGGATGGGCTACGTGAACTTAGCAACGCTAATGATGCCCATCTGATAGGAATATCCGAAACTTGGATAACGTCTCAGTTTACGGACCAAGAGTTAGCAATAACTGGGATGTCTTTATTTCGCAACGACAGAAAAACAGGAATGGGGGGTGGGGTAGCACTATACGTACGGTCATGCCTGGACGCGCACCAACTTCACAACCAAGAGTTTCACAATCTTGACGAGTCAGTATGGTGCTCAGTAAGATTATCTACCACCTCGAGGTGCCTAGTTGGGGTCGTTTACAGGAAGCCCACTGCCGACATCGAATATGACAAACGTCTGCTGGAAGGATTAACTCGCTCTACGCGTCTTGGATTCTCTCATATCCTGATTCTAGGGGATTTCAATCTCCCTAGAATCAACTTCGTGGAACATACATACATTGGTGGTGCCAACTCTACTGAAGCTCTGTTCTTCAACCTTATCGGCGACCTGGGATTATTTGAAAATGTGAAGTTGGCAACCCGTTGGAGAAACAGTCAGACGCCGTCACGCTTAGACTGGGTATTCACAAACGAAGAATTCCTAGTTGACGACCTCTCAATCCTGGCTCCCCTGGGCAAAAGTGATCACGCCGTCTTATCATTCAGCTTTGTCAGCAAGACGGAGCTACGATATCCTACTAGCAACAAGCGCTGGAACTTCAAACGGTTGAATGTGTTAGCTTTACAGGACTATCTTCAATAGGTGGATTGGGATGTTCGCCCTGAAATTGAAGTGGATGCTCATTGGGATTCTTTACTGCACACGATCTTATGTGCTACTGAGCATTCAGTTCCTAAAATGGTCCCGAAAAGCTACAAGCAACCTGCAATCATCAAGAACCGCACTCGTCGTTTGCTAAGCGGCAAACGGCACTGTTGGGCTGAATATAAACGAACGGATAACAACGGCCCGTACAGGCAGTACAAACATATAAGGAACACATGCACAAAGGCAATAAGAGAAGACAAGCTTCAGTTCCAGACCAAGCTTATCGATAGATTCGTCTCCAATCCGAAAAGCTTGCTCAGTTATGCAGCTTCTCTTCGACAAGGCAAAACTGGAGTTTCTCAACTGCTTGGTCCTAATGGCCCGACCAACAACGACAGTGATGCCGCTAACCGTTTGGCTGAACATTACTCCCGGACATTCCAACTGACCCACATCAACCATACTGACGAAAGCTTCACCTGCACCTGTACAGGACTTTCCGAAGTGGACCTGAGTGCTGACTTGGTGCTCCGTAAACTGCAGAACCTAAAGAAAGACACTTCTCCTGGTTCGGACATGGTTCATTCCGCTGTATTGAGGGAAGCAGCTTCAATCCTGGCGACACCACTTAGCGTGATGTTTGCACACTCGCTAAGCAGAGGCAAACTACCGGAAATTAGGAAGCTGGCCCACATCACACCAATTTTCAAAGGAGGTCGACGCAGTGAACCCTCAAGCTACCGACCAGTGGCCCTTTTCTCCATACCTTCAAAAATTATGGAATCCCTAGTATTCGACGGCATACTAGAACACTTATCATCCTCAAAGTTCTTCTCGCCTCAACAGCATGGTTTCAGAAAAGGTCATTCTTGTATGACCAACCTGCTGACTGCGGTGAACAAATGGACAACCATCCTTGATCGCAAGGGGTAGGTTGACGTCATTTACCTGGATTTCTCAAAAGCTTCTGATAGGGTCAACCACATATGTTTTATCAATAAGCCCAAACAATTAGGTATCAAACCACTTCGACTCTACCGGTTAACTTCATATCTAAAAATCGACATTTTAAGGTCAGGGTTAACTTCACTTTCTCTCAGGCTATGGAATGCTATGGGGGGTGGTCTAGGGCTCATTACTAGGAACTCTTCTCTTCTTGATTTACATAAACGGTCTCCCACAACAAGTTTCTTCTGACTTATTGCTTTTTGGTGATGATGGGAAACTTTGGAGAGGGATACGTAACCAAGAGGACATACTGGCACTTTAGGAGGAGCTGACTGAAGTTCAAAGTTATGAAGACAACAACGGACTTACAGTCAACACTTAAAAATGTAAAGTAGTCCATCTGCGACATGTTGCAGACCACAGTTACAACTTAGGAAACTCCTCTTTAGAAGTTTCCCAAGTCTAAAAATTCTTAGGAGTGTTGGTAACCTACGATTTGAAGTAGTTCGTGAACTGTGACAAAAACGCCTCTCAAGCAAACCTTGCACTGGTAACATTGAAGCGCATTTTTGGCCAGTTTGACGGAAGAACTTTCCACATAATCTTCAACAGTTTTGTTTGTCCCAATTTAGAGTACGGAAACATAGTATTTCCTCCCTCCCTCCAAAAGGATAAGGTCACTCTGGAACGTATACAACGTCGAGCCACGAAATCAGTTCGGGGTCTCAAATTCAAATCTTATGAAGAGCGCCTCCAATCACCTAACCTTTACCCGTTAGAGTATAGGCGTCTTAGAGGTGATCTTCTTATGACTTATAGTATCCTTAATACTTCTGGTCATCCCCTTAAACAACTTCTTAAGCTTAGTCATAACACTAACCTGAGAGGTAACACCCAGAAATTGGAGACCCTACATAGCAGAACAGACTGCAGACACAACTTTTACTCCGTTAGAGTTGTCAAGTGCTGGAATTCGCTGCCGACTGAGCTAGTCCAAGCGACCTCCCAAGAGTCCTTTAAGAGAAAACTTGACTTATTCTTAAGGACTAAGGATAACATAATATTATGATTTACCAAATTCTTTTTTTCCCTCTATTATCGTTCATATACCTAGGTTCTTGCCTGGAGGTATTGGTGATCCACTGCTACCAGACACGGAAGCCCGTTAAGCGAAAGCTTCTTCTATTCCGTCCTCAACCATTTGAACCATTTGGACTCTGAATCATCCTAACTATCTGTTTAAGTATCTAGATGAAAAATGGATTCTTTTGGAAGAGCAGCATGACCTTAAAATAAGTCATTTCTGTCTCACTAACCTATTAATTATATAAAGTAAGAAAACGATCTGTTGATGTGGATAAAATACTTTCTAGTTGGACGCCAACAAAGAGTACGGGTGAACTCCAAGTTGTCTAGCTGGGAAACCGTGCGTAGTGCAACGTCTCGAGGTACAGTTTTGGGACCAGTTTTATTCTTATATGTAAATCACCTTCCTCGTCTCCTGCCATCACCGTTCTTGGCGTATACTGACGATGTCAAGATATGGAGGGCGATAAGAAGTAAGAGCGAAAGCTTAGGATTCCAAAATGACCCGTAGAAATTATCTGAATGGTTTCAAATCTGACATTTGCCCATAAATACTTCTAAATGTATTGTGATGCATAATGGTCACCAAAATACATATACATACAGAATTAATAACACTGAGTAACCTGTTTTCCAGACGCATAATGACTTGAGAGTCATCTTTAGCCAAGACTTAAGGACTACAGCACACTGCCGTGCAGTAGTCCTCAAAGGTTTTAGAACCCTATAGTTAATAGGTAGGGTCTTTTTCTATGTCGACGCTAAAACGTTTTTGACATTGTATACATTGTTCGGGCGTCCTGAACTTGAGTATTGCTAGCCCCTGCCTAAGAAAGACAGTGGGCTTTTGAAAAAGTTTCAGAGAACAGCAATGTTGGGAATGTCAAATCCCCAGAACTTACTTGGTAAATGGCTTAGTTTTGTAATTTTATTTTGAAAATTTGAATTTAGCTGTTTCCGCGCCAAACGCGCTCTTTTTACCTTCACGTCATATCTCCCACTTGTAAACTGTCTTAAACGCTATTGGTCCATTGTTTCTTTGTGTGTGCTATTTACTAATGATGCTCAAGGACAAATTGTTGTTGTATAAATGCGCTTGACTTTTTCCCTTATTCGATTGCTTGTACTCGGCTGCTTACGGAATACATATATATTCCCCTACTTGCCTTGGACTTCTTCATCTAGTTAGCGGGGCCTGGGACAACCGATTAGAATAGCATATCGTGTCATTAAGTCATTGGCTTTCGTTCGTTACCGCGGAATCGATTTAGTTTCAGGCATAACAAGCAACTAAGCTGATTCTGTAAAAGCGAAGCCCCCGTATGATGCTCAACTCGCTAAACTAAACCTATTCCTGTTGTCATATCAAAGAACTCGGAGTGATTTGATTACAGTTTTCAAATTATTTGGTGATAATATTGCATTTGCTATGCCTTCATCTTTCTTGTCTTCCAAAACAGAATTTTAGAAGACAATACAAAAAGGTTTGCACTCCAGGACAAATTACTTGTCAGCTGACTATCGACTTTCCATCGAGTTATAGGCGGGTGGAATTCACTACTTCAACATGCAACTGACATTCCATCAGTCAGCTGTTTCAAAGGAAAACTGGATCAACTAAGAACTCTCACTTGATGGTCTAGACCATCATCGCCAGAACTAACACAGGCCACCTAGCCTTCGCAGCTGAAAATGAAACTGAAACCGACATTAGCAATGTTTTCAATCAGTAGGCCGTGATAAGAAGTCAGTTTGCTCTCCCTAATGGATAGAGGAGACTTCGGATTTGCTTAGACCCAAGATAATTCTTTGTGACAGGATGGCATACAAATGACGAATCTCTTGCTGATCGTGTAGAAGATCTACGTTGATGATCTATGTCAAAATGATTGGGGGCCTACTAGAGTTAGACGAGAATGGTGACGAATCATCTAACGCTGAAGTCACACCTCGCAACCAGCCCTTACGTGCACTGAACCATCGACGCATCAAAGGATAATGGATGCTATGGAGACTGTACAACACAAAGGACGTTATTACAAGAATATATTAGTTAAGGTACAACTATGGAAGTACAGAAGTGAAAGAATAACCACTGCCGCGTGGGCCAGTCCATGGCGTACGATTTGATTGATGCGCGTTGACTATCCTTGACCTTGACAGGGATCGATGATCTGTTCGATATTCAGTGACATTTCACCCACCCTACAACAGCTTGGAATCTCATAACGTATTTCAAGTTAAGCGTATTAGTAGTGATGATTTCACTCATGTTTTTCTTCATGTAACGGCCTCGAAAAAGACCAAACTTTTGTCTGAAGGTCAAAGGGTATCGGGCGTGCAGTGAGTTGTGAAGTTATAGTGATCATTCTATTTTAGTTTTTTTGCGATGGGTTGACGATTATATTGTCAACACAAAAACATCATGGAATGTTTTTCTGTCCGAAACATTGGTTGATCTTGTATTTCGCTAAAAAATGTTCATTATGAGACCAGATCTAAATGTGTCCGGATGCAAACTAATAATGTCACTGAGCTACAATAAAGCACTCGTGAAAAAATTTGTTGCTACACTTCATGTTACGCGTTTTCCTCCATAGTGTTGTCACAAATGAGACGAATACAACTTAGGCATAAGTACGTGTACCTGAGTATACATACTCAGGTAATGCGACGCGACTAAAGAACATAGACGAGCCAATCAGAAACTTTCGCGGGTTTTCAAGGTTACGGCGCTAATTTCGGTACCCGACGCTTACGTACGGTCGGTTTACAATGGATTTTAGAGAAAACATGATAATTAAGTGTCTACAAGATAAGTTATCATAAGATTGTGGCGCAAAATTCAATTATACTTTTGAATAGAGTTGTGGCACTATAGCTGATATCATGACATCACGAACTGCAGTTCGTGATGAAAACCCTAATTTTGATTCCTAACCTTAACCATGAACTGTGAATCATAATTTGAATTATTCACACGGGTTTATAACCCTCATTTAGTCTTAGTTATTACGTTGACACTCTGAGATTCACTCTAGCATCGCTCAAATGTCGTCCGTAATTTATAGTCTCATCTTTAACCCTAAACCGTAACCCTAAACCCTAACGCTAATACTAAACCCTAAACCAAACCAACATGCCGACAACACTGAAACTATGTAGTCGAGGCTGAAAGAATTTTCGGGACTTTATCATGGTTCCAGAGGTCGAGTACTATGGAGCCACAGGAATGAGTTCCTGTGCCGGATGCACTATGACTTTAGAACTTCTGAACCTATATCTGACCCAGATAAGTTTTTGATTCATGTAAAAAGACAGTATCCCCTTTAATTTTTGAGTTTTCTAGAATATATTTTTACTGTATGATAACTGTCTTCTGATTGGCTAATATTTCTCAAGGTCATTTAGGATTCGTTCAAAGGTCGTCCATGTTCTTTAGTCTCGCCGAGCTATCATTCTTTTGGTACATCGTACATATAGGCAGGGAAAATTCAATATGTAAATAACCTGAACGTGGATGTGAAGTGTAGTATTTGAAAGTGCCATTTTGTGATCATAAATTTGCGTATTTTTGAGCTCGTTCAACACATTTTCTTAACATGCAAGTAACTCCTTGTCATAACTATTTATAATTTGTTTATATATTGACTGTTGGTATGTTTATATTTTAGTCACTTTTTAACGTTTTTCGTATTTTATTGTTCGACCCCGTGTTTATAACATTCATTTTCTCAAGCTGAACTCATTGTTTTTTTATTATACTTATGTGTGTTATCACTTTACTGTGTGTATATTCACTGTGAAACGCGTGAAATCCCTACTTTCGCCTCCATCACACTTCTCTTGATCCAAAGATAAATGACTTCTGTAGCTTCCACTACGTAGTTACGGTGCTGTATCAATGGTCTTAATAATCCCTGAATGTATTCTGTTCACATGTAAATATAGTTCATAGCACAGGGGATTCGGACTCGAACTACGCGTTACGCTTATGTAGTTTTCTGATTCCCCATTAACATAGCGAGGGAGGTGAAAAATATCGTCAGATATGTGCATGCCACCGAAAGAGAATTCCAGCATATTTGTACTTCTATGCACCAGTCCAACATACCACAAGCCTCTTCGTTACACATGGTGGTCTAGAAAGATTGTCACTGGGGTATATGCATTGATTAAATACCTAACTATACCTGGTCAGTGTTCAGTGTCCCATGTAGGTTATTTCATTCAACCGTATTAGAAATGTTAGTGGTAAAGCATCATCTCTCTTCATAGGGTTTTAGTCTGGGTCACGAGAGAGATTTTCTGTTGGTGGTAGAGTCTGACTACTAAGCATCTCGCTGTTGGGTGGCCATCGTTTCACTGATATAATAAATCGCAAAAGGCAAGTAAATTTGCCAAATAATACTGATTGAAACTTAATTTCGGGATCAATAATCAGTGTGAAAGGGACGTCGAAAATGGAAATCAAGCAGTCTGAAAAATGAAGAAAACAGTTTATACATAGGATTTGATGATCGAACATACAATAGCCTATCTAACTGAATGATCAATAGCTGTAAATGTGTGTATAAAGGTTTTAATGTTGGTGGCAGTCATGCGATGTTAGTGTACACAAGCTGAAGCCGTCTGTCAGACTCTGAGGAATCATTTGTCGAGATTACTATATACAGATGAATCTTTTCTCCCAATAATATTTAAATTACAATACAATTTTTTCTTAAACAGTTTAGTTTTCTCTGGTTATCATTCCACTTGTGACTTTCCAATTATTTTAAGTTTAACAATTTAAACTAGCTAGACTTATTAGGTTGAATGTTACTTAATGTGAGGCAACGAAATATAGTCAATTTACCATACTTAGCCGACGTTTGTTTATAGTCAACAATTATGCATTCGTAGTGTCGTAATGAGTGGAAAGTTGAATTTCTGACCTTTTGCAGCTTAGCGTAGTTCGCGTCTTCGGAGAATAAATAAATAACCGAAATAAATTATCGAATTTGCGAATAAAATATTTAGTGTAATTAAAACAATCCATCCGGTGCTCAGTTTATTTGAAATTATGGAGTTACATCTCGGTAGTAACATTTAAGAACTAATATTATGTTATAATGGTATCACTAAACGTTAAATGGTACCCAGTAAAAGTGTATTTGTTGGTATCGACTGGTGAAGCCTACATTTATCTAACGGGAAACGTATTTCACAAGAGCGAACCTCACACTGATGTGTTACACTTAAGTGTATGGTCTCATAGTGTTAAAAAGTTGCAGTTTTACTTGTGTAACAATTGATAATGTATTTTTTTAACTTCCATTTTGCAGAGGCGTATTTTTGTCAGATGAATTATGACTATCTCAGCTCACCACAAAAGAAAGGAAGATTCAACATCGCGTAAGTTCTTTTTTTATCAATTTGCTCTTCTCGTTAATTCTTATTACGTTGGCTTAGCATTTTATAACCGCGATATTTCTTGATAATCTTCTAAGTGTAGGGAAAAATAGGTAAACATCGTTTCGAAGTGATATTAATTACTTGTTTGGATTATATGCTAGGGGCTTGTGACAAGGAAGGAAACAAAGATAACAGATGAATATTTACTATGCATCAAAAATAAACTAAAATCCATTTCTGAATACATTGGGTTTTTTAATGTGTTTTAAATGTACTGATCAATAGTTGAATTTAAATTAATTAGACTGAGTGGTAATGTACATTATTTGTCAATAAATGAGTATTTACAATTTTACAATTTCATAAAACTTACTGCTTTCATTATTTTGTGTGGCGCATATGTACCTGGTGCCCTTTTGTACCAATATATATGTGTTTAAATAAATAAATAAATAAATAAATATAAGTTATTATGGGTCGAATAATCAAATCATCTTCATGAAATTACCCAGGGATAGCTTTCATTACTAACTGATATCAACTAAAGAACTACTGAAAACCTGGAAAGGAGGATTTAAAACTGTTGTTTTTTCCTAGTTCATAACTCTTTAACAGTGAGCATCCACAGTTGCACCCTGAATCTAGCCCAGAACCTTCAGATTTTATTGAGAGCATAAAATACCTTTTGAACACAGTTGTGACTTGATTATGTGTATTTTAAATTGTCATTTTACTGGCGAAACATAAGCAGGATCTCAACATAGGATGAAACAGTTCATTCCACTATTTCTATTATAACTGCAAATTGTATAAATTATTTGTGATTAACTGTTTTCAAAAAGGTGTAATTTGGTTGTGTAACCTTAAAAAAACTTCCCCCATTAATTTTAAATGAGATCATATAGGAATTCTTTGTAAAACTGACTTTCAAAGTTCTGTGAACAATTTAGCCTTTATACGAATAAAGCTGCAATTCTTACGCCTATTTATTGAGAGTCATTTTACTGAAGAAAAAAGTGGTCTTAATGTTTCATAAATGTGTTCGAACTTACATTTCAAAATGTCAACTTGAATTTATCGTTATAATTATTTAGATATTCTTTTGCAAGCCACACTATTTTCTCATCCGATTTCATATCAAATTTCACTACTTTTTCATCCCCAATGTTAATATGATGCACATAACTTGTTTAATGTTTCTCATCGATCTATATCCTTCGTTTATAGTAGACTTTGATGAGATCACATTTTCGCGGAATTTATCATTAAAAAGTGATACAAACAAGTTTTTTTATGCCCGATGGTTAATAATACTAATCAGCTTCTCAAAATCAAGTGGACTCGGGTTCGAATCCGCGAATCAACGGTTAACAGTTATGTACTTTTTAGCCACTAAAATACCGCCAATTATTTTCAGCAATGAAAATCATTTTGTTCATAAATCATGCTTAGTCATTCGTAATTATGTTAGAATTCAATTTTTTTTACTTCAGCATGGTATCAGATTTTTGTTACCCGAATGTTGGCGGTGTAGAAAGTCATATTTTTGCTTTATCTCAGTGCCTTATTCGACGTGGTCATCGAGTTATTATAATCACTCACTCTTATAGTTCTAAAGGTGGTCAACGTCAAGGTGTAAGATATTTGCCTCGTGGACTTAAAGTAGGTGCTTGTAATTTTGTTTTGTTTAATTAAAAAACACTTATTTTAGGTGTATTATATTCCAATACAACCGTTTTATAAACAATCAATTTTCATCACAGTTCTTGGCACATTACCAATAATTCGTGAAATAGTAATACGTGAACAGATTGATATTATACATGGACATTCAGTATGTTTACAATAAATTTAAAATGTTTTATCATGTTAGTTAATTCTTTAAATAGGCTGGCATCTTGTTGTTTTAATATCTCTCGGGTGTTGGACAAACACGTTTATGGACAGTAATATATGAAGCTTATGTATTTTAGTCATATATATATATATATATATATATATATATATATATATATATATATATATATATATTCATGGTTATAATATAAATATGAAGCAAATATCTAATAGTTAAAGTCATTCGATATTTTGGCATTAACTATGTAACTGTGTCACAGATGGTAAAATTGTCATATTCTTTTATTACAGAGGATTTACACTGTTTTATCCTATATTGAGTAGTTGTTCGTAGTCGTCAGATAATCACAACAAAAGAATTTCAGTGTTAGGTGGCTTAGAGTTGAGGAATTGATGTAAATGGATGGCTGCTCAGGGCCTATTCACTGTGTTATTTTACTAAACAAAGCTAATGCATTAACTATGTTTTCCGTAATACCCAGAGCGTTTGACCTCTTTTATGGCTTATCACAAGATTATTGTCTTATATGTTGGTGCCTAAAGGTTAAACGACAAGGGTAAAGGTAAGATTGTACAGATTCATGCGATTTGTTTTACCAGTCTATGTAAATTATATACCCTCTTTTATCTTTCTACAGCAAAACGTAATAGGTTAACTTTTGGAAAATTCACTTAGAGTATCATAATTTCTCGTAAGAATAGTTTTCGTTTTAGAAACTTAACACAGAAATGCTGTTATTAATTGACGGGAATTAAATATGTATTTTGTCCAATAAATATACGGACTGAAATAATAAAACTTGTTTTACAGAATAAATTGTATTCATTAAAAAACATTTTCTATATATAGCAATACACTTATCCCATCTCAGCTCCTATTGTTTAAAACATCTTTAAAAGTCTTCAGAATTCAGCCATTTCAGTTTTGTCGTTTTTTAACGTCGTATTGTCTTCACACATTTTGGACTTCGGGGATAAAAATGAATCTCAAAGGGCTTAGTTTGGTAATTAGGGAAGGGGTTCGAATTACAAGGCAGAAACTGGAGAATAATCACAGCTGAATATCTACGTACACAGTCCTGTACGTATAAGACAGACTGTGTACTTGTAAGGTAAAAATAACTTTCGTCGGTTAGCTAATTTAAGACAGAACACCAAGGTCAGACTGACCCGGATCGATGGATGTTTATGTTCAGCACAATTCGTCGTTTGTTCAGCTTCGTCAATAGCTGGTAATCTCGGTAGCCCACTTTGCGTGTTTGTCGAACTGACCACATAGTCTGTTGGTTGTCGAGATGCTCCATAAAAGCCTAGATTTTTGGAATTATAGTCTTACAACCTGTTTATCACTTGAGGTTACTGTTCTATGAAGTAACAAAGACCTGTTGATTATTCATTTAACACTCAATGTAATCGTATTACACAAGTCAGCGATATCAAGTCGCAACTTAATTATACTTTTGATGTGTAACAACCCTAACAAACTGTGTTATGTAAGCTTTAAATGAAGGTTTAACTACGTTTTATGGGATTATATGTCCCAATTACACAGTCTATACATTTTCTTCAGGTCTTCCATCGGCTCACGAAACATTTAAAAACACGGAACTTGTAACTTTATTTTAAAATGCATATATGTGGTAAAAATATGTGGCATCTTTATTGCTTTTTTTCTTTGTTATAGATATTTTCGCCTTTAGCCTGTGAAGCTGCAGTTCACGCACAGAGCCTTGGCTGTCGAACTGTTCATACAGAGCACTCACTTTTCGGTTTTTCAGATTTGTCAGCAATAATTATGAATAAAGTAATGGAAGGTGTATTTACAGCTGTAGATCAAGTAATCTGTGTTTCACATACTACAAAAGAAAATGTAGTTCTTCGAGCTAAATATGATCCTGATCGAGTTTTTGTAATTCCTAATGCAGTGGATGCCTCTGCGTTTCTTCCTGATCCGTCTTGTCGTGACCCTAATTACAGTTAGTAATTTGTTTTAATACTTTGATGAAGTTTACTTTTGTACCTTTGAATAATACTTAAGTTCTTTTTCTGTTAAAGTTCGCGTTTCACAACCATAGGCAAAATCATAGCAAACTCCTGCTGATTATATACGTTCTTTGTTTGTAAACAGATATCTCACTTACGCCAAAGGTTGATACAAATTAGAAAAAGTTATCGAGCTCTCTGGATCCATGCTGATTTAGTCAGGCATCAAACTACTAGGGCTGATGAAACAAATCAAGTGGTCAACAAAATTAACTAATTCACTCCCTATGAATTATCTAAAGGGATAACTCAGACCAGTCCTAGAGCATTATTTTGAATTTAGAAAAGGATAAACTCAGACGAACCATAATTGGACTGTTTGTCAAGGGAACCATAAGACTGCACTTTGTCGGCATCCTTATACAGAACTATGTCATCTGCACATTGTGAGTCGATAAATGAACCTCCTGGTCGGAGATCAATTTCTATAAGTTTAAAAGGAAGCACTATCTCTAAATGGCTATGTGACAAAGATAAAGATGGGGGAAGTCGATGGTAACGGATGAATGGAAAATGTACTGAAATTTGTTTTCACGGTTTTCCTACCAATAGTGGTTCCTTCAGAGATCTTGGTGATTAAGTTTATTCAAATTCAAATATATCCACTTAATGTAACCTTCTTTTCACTAATTGATTTCTTTTTAGTTACTATTGTTGTGGTTTCTCGTTTAGTTTACCGAAAAGGTCTTGATTTATTGGTTGCCATCATACCGTCATTATGTTCTCTGTTTCCAGAATTAAGATTTCTTATAGGTATGTTACTTGCTTTTTAAACACTTTTCATAATATCCTTATTCATTCGGCTTAGAAAATCTAATCTGATTGACTGGTGTATGGTAAATAAGAATATTTAATAATTTATCATTTTTCATGTTCCTCTAAAATACATCATCCGGGTTTTATAAAGCTGATCAAAACTTACTTACTTACTTACTTTCGCCTGTTACTCCCAATGGAGCATAGGCCGCCGACCAGCTTTCTCCAACCCACCCTGTCCTGGGCCTTCTTTTCTAGTTCTTTCCAGTTCTTGTTCATTCTTCTCATGTCTGTCTCTATTTCTCGGCGTAATGTGTTCTTTGGTCTTCCTCTTCTCCTTCGACCTTCAGGATTCCATGTGAGGGCTTGTCTTGTGACACAATTGGGTGATTTCCTCAAAGTGTGCCCAATCCACTTCCAGCGCTTCTTCCTGATTTCTTCCTCCGCTGGAATCTGGTTTGTTGTCTCCCACAGTAACTTGTTGCTGATAGTGTCTGGCCATCGGATCCGAAGTATCTTTCGTAGACAGCTGTTAATAAACACTTGTATCTTCTGGATACTGGCTTTCGTAGTTCTCCACGTCTCTGCCCCATACAGAAGAACTGTCTTCACATTTGTATTGAAAATTCTAACCTTGGTGTTGGTTGACAATTGTTTTGAGCTCCAGATGTTTTTCAGCTGTAGGTATGTTGCTCTTGCTTTGCCCATCCGCGCCCTCACATCTGCATCTGGTCCACCGTGTTCATCAATGATGCTGCCCAGATATGTAAAGATTTCCACATCCTCCAAAGCTTCTCCGTCAAGTGTAATTGGATTGGTGCATATTGTATTGTATCGGAGAGTCTTGCTTTTCCCTTTGTTTATATTGAGACCTACTGCTGCTGAGGCTGCTGCTACACTGGTCGTCATCTCCTGCATTTGTTGTTGCGTTTGTGATAGAAGAGCCAGATCATCCGCGAAGTCTAAATCGTCAAGCTGCATCCTGCCTGTCCACTGTATCCCGTGCTTTCCTCCAGATGTTGACGTCTTCATAATCCAGTCGATCACCAGGAGAAAGAGAAAGGGTGAAAGTAGGCAACCTTGCCTAACACCGGTCTTTACCTCGAACGAGTCGGTGAGTTGTCCTCCGTGGACGATTTGGCAGTTTAGGCCATCATAGGAGTTCCGTATGATGTTGACTATCTTCTCAGGCACGCCGTAGTGTCGAAGAAGCTTCCATAGTGTCGTCCTGTCCACGCTATCAAATGCCTTCTCGTAGTCGATGAAGTTGATGTACAGTGATGAATTCCATTCGATTGATTGTTCCACAATGATACGTAGAGTTGCGATTTGATCTGTGCACGATCTATCCTTACGAAATCCAGCTTGTTGATCTCGAAGTTGAGCGTCCACGGAATCCTTCATCCTGTTTAACAATACTCTGTTGAAGACTTTTCCTGGTATTGAGAGGAGAGTGATGCCCCTGTAGTTGTCGCACTTGCTCAGATCGCCTTTCTTTGGTATCTTGATGAGAAGTCCTTCTTTCCAGTCTGTTGGTACATGTTCTTCGTCCCAAATCTTACCGAAGAGGATGTGGAGTATCTTGGCAGTTGCTGTTACATTTGCTTTCAGTGCCTCTGCCGGGATGTTGTCTGGTCCCGCTGCTTTGCCACTCTTGACTTGTCTAATGGCCATGCTGATCTCTTCAATTGTTGGTGGGCCAATATCGATTGGGAGGTCTGTGGGTGCTGCTTCGATGTTGGGTGGGTTCAGTGGAGCTGGTCGATTCAAGAGTTCTTTGAAGTGTTCTACCCACCTGTTTCGTTGTTCTTCAATATCGTTGATTACTTTGCCTTCCTTGTTTTTCACTGGTCTTTCTGGTTGACGGTAATTTCCAGCAAGTTTCTTTGTTGTATCATACAGTTGTCTCATGTTTCCCTCTCTTGCAGCCTTTTCCGCTGTCATCGCTAAATCTTCCACATATTTACGTTTGTCGGTCCTGATGCTCCTCTTCACTTGCTTGTTTGCCTCTGTGTATTCGGCTTGTGCCTTGGCTTTTTCTGCTCTTGTTCGGCTGATATTGATTGCTACCTTCTTGTTCCTCCTTGCTTCAATTTTATCCAGTGTACCAACAGTGATCCATTCCTTGTGATGGTGCTTCTTTTGGCCCAGAACCTCCTGACATGTTGAAACGATTGCCTCCTTGATACCTTTCCAGCTGCTCTCTATGCTGGTTCCCTCTCCATTGAGTAGGTCATGAAAGGCCTCGAACCTGTTGCTGAGGGCTATGTTAAATTCGTTGAGTTTGTCAGCATCTCGAAGAAAGGCCGTGTTAAACTTTTGTGATGTTGTCCGCGCCATTGTCCAGTGCTTCTTGAGTTTTAGTTTCATCTTGGCGACCAGCAAATGGTGATCGGATGCTATATCAGCTCCTCTTCTGGTTCTCACATCCTCCATCGTCCTCCTGAACTTTTTGTTGATGCAGACATGGTCGATTTGATTTTGTGTAGTGTGATCCGGTGAAATCCAAGTGGCTTTGTGTATGTTTTTGTGTGGGAATATGGTGCCACCTATGACCAGTTTATTGAAGGCACATAGGTTTGCAAATCTCTCACCATTTTCGTTCCTTTCTCCCAGTCCATGTTGTCCCATGACGTCTTCGTATCCAGTGTTGTCATTTCCAACCTTTGCATTGAAATCTCCCATTAGAATGGTCAGGTCCTTGGTTGGGCACTTTTCGAAGATTGACTGCAGCCTATCGTAGAATTGGTTTTTAGCGTCTTCATCGTAGTCGTTGGTCGGCGCATAGCATTGGATGATGTTCATTGTAATGCCCTCTCTCTTTGTTCTGAAGGAGGCTTTGATGATCCTCGGTCCATGAGATTCCCATCCTATAAGTGCATTTTGTGCTTTTCTAGACAGCATCAATGCAACTCCTTGTGTATGTGGGGCATTTTCTTCTTCATGACCGGAGTATAACAGAAGTTCCCCTGAAGACAGTCGTTGTTGTCCAACCTGCGTCCAATGTGTTTCACTGATTCCAAGCACTTCCAGTTTGTATTTCCTCATTTCCGCAGAAATTTGGAAAACTCTTCCGGTCTCCCACATTGTCCGGACATTCCATGTACCTATAAAAATTGTCGCTCTGGTTGTAAGAAGGTGCATCGGCCTCATGACTTCCGAATGAACTCGGCTTTCATCATGAGACGTCATTTTTCCTTCTACTCCCAGGGCAGAGTTTGAATGGTTTGAATGATTTTTTCTGGTTAGCGTTTTTTTAGCGAGTTGATTTTCTACGGGATGGGGTCGCTAACCCCATGCCCAACCCTCCTCCTTTTAGTGGGCTTGGGACCGGCAGTAACCCCTGGAGGAGCTACAGGCGGAGTTTGATCAAAACAGTTCGCTCATATTTAATATTACGAAATGTTTTCCGATGTAGCCATTGATATTTCCCGAATTTTTACTGATTCTTAAATGTGATTAATGGTGATGAGACTGAAAATGAATATTGAGAATAATCTGTTTGTTCATGACCATTGTATATTAGGGAAATGATTGTTAAAGTCAGTAGCTTTACCGAAATTAAAGTACCAGGTGCATCTAACAAGATTTTTTTTTCATCTTGTGCCAACCATCTGAAAAATAAAGTTTAGTTTCTGTAAAACATTGTTTCGTGTGGGCAAATATATCTCTTATACATCTTCATCTTTGAGGTCCAATGCGAATTTGATTATGCAATCAGGTTTTTTAACTATCTTACAAATCATCACTAGGGTTAGGTAGCGTTGCCTGAATTTTCCATTCCTCTTTAACACCACCATTTATGACATTTTGGGGACAGTGCTAAAGGTAGTACGTGTTAACAATATAGACATTTTATGTAGAAAAGTCCAATCTCTGTAATATGACGTTTTTATTTTGCGATTACATACATGCTACTGAAATTATACTCAAGTAGTTTGAATCAGTGTGTTACATCCCATCGAGATTTATGAATGGTAACTTTTAAGAACTATTTATGGAAAAAATATTATACATATATTCTTAATGTATAACTATTCAGTAGATAGATTGTATATATCTATACTCCTCTTATTACAAGCTTTATTTTGACCTATGAACTATCATTATACGATTTACCGTTCTTAGGTTATGCCCAATCTATTGATTACATTCTCCCACATTCACAGCCACTTTTGGTTAGATCTTGTACAAATGTTATTTTCTATTGTACTGTACGATGTGGTCTGTTCGGTTTGTATATAAACTCAGTATGCTTGAAATACATGATTCATATCGCGGAGGCTGAGATTGGTGTTCTAGACTTAGCAGGCAGAGCTAGACAGGAAGAAAGACTGATAAAGACTCTAAACTACTCGTACGGGTTTTATGTATCATTGGCCCGGTCGATAATTAACTGTTCTCCAATTGACGGTATTATTACGTTATATATTAATAGGGCACAAGTTATAACACAGTGTTCATCAATACATTTCGATGGTCAAGGGAACCTGTTTATTTTGTTACTTGGTAATAAACCTTTGATGTTCTTGCAATAATGGTATTGCGATAGACGAGATTGGTTTTTTGGATGGCTAAAGTTGCATATGTCAGTCACAACTATTTTTATTAATTTCATGAAAAACTTGATCAGCAGTCAGATTTTTGAAGCACCCAATTCGTCTTACAACTTCAACAAATTTTTCAACCAGGCTGAGGGTATTCTGTGGATCCCTGTGCTTTTCAATCGCTGTCGCTGCAGCATTAATCACTTTCTCAAGATTACCACTTGAGTAATATTGACATCTACTGACTGATATCCTTTCGTATAAGTAACCGTATTCCACAACATCGAATCGTATGATTTAGGCACATTCTGCATATTGTATCTTAGGTGTTGTTTGCTAACATTGGGGCTTCATGAAACTAGCATAGAAATAGTCAGTTTATGTCGTGGCTCCATAAAATAAAGAATAGTTGCATTGGATGTGTATTTGTTGGTATAAAATAATTCTGTACATCCACCCTTAGTGGTCATGTGGTTGAACAGTTTCAAACATTACTGCATATGACCAACAATTGTAGTTTTTAGTCTCCTGATGTCTTTTACATTGACATCAAGACCTACTGTTTTACCCGCTTGAAGGATACCAACTTGTTTAATAATCATCAAACCTGGATTTCACATGATGTGTTAAACCAAACAAACCGATATTTTAAGTCTCATTCTTTTACATTAACATCCTCACACTTACAGTCCAAAATACATCCATGTGTTGAGCGAATTATGTTTATGAAAATGTAAAAGTGGAGCCAGTCTTTTTATTTTTCCTATTCAGAAAGTCTAATCCTTAATAAATGATAAAATCACAGATTTATTTATGTAGTTATTGGCCTTGTTTAAAACAGTACATGGATTAGCATAGGTGTGAAATTATTTTGATGGAGTTATGATCATGAAGCTCTTTTTGTCTTATGATAACGTTGTTAGCACAGACTTCGAATAGAAGTGAGCTATTTAAATTTCTGTCCATGTTAAAGCGTCCAGTACTATGTTACATCTACGCAGGTTATTGTAGCTTTTGGACAGACCATATAATTTATTCTTCTTGAGACATTATTCACACATTTTCTTACCTTGTCAATTATTTGCTTATAACCCTGATTGCTTTTATATGGATGTGTGTATCACTTACTTTATTCATCACATATCTTTAGCTTATTTTTGTAACTATAAATATTGAGTCTCGCTTTGTTGAATCGTACCTACTCCGTTTCACTTCTCCTTCCAGCTTCTCGTCTTGATATGTCTTAGGAAACAAGTGGATGAAATAAATTCATTCAACTTAATTCGTATTTGACTTGTCATTACAGCCATCGCTGAAACAGGGTTAACCTAGGTGTAATATACAGAATTAATCGGAAGATTTATGTTCATGGCATATTCATTCGTTCGTCCAATTCGGAGTCAGATCTTGGGCTACAATAATGTATGACTAATAGCTAACACTTGAATTTGATCGGTTGTTGTTTACACTGATCATATCACTTCTAGTCGGAGTTTACCCCGATAGTACTGTGTTGAAGGACAGTAAAAGCGTTACGATTAAACCAACCAACTCAGAGAACGCATCATCTTCCTAAGCTACGAATCTCCACTATCTCAAAGTCATATATGTGCAATATTATCTGTTAATTTATTTAAAGTCTATAATTTTAGGTGGTGATGGACCTAAAAGACTTGAACTTGAAGAGATACGCGAACAGTATCAGTTACATTCACGTGTAAACTTATTAGGAAGTTTACAGCCTCATGAAGTTCGACCTGTAAGTTGTTACATAGCAACGTTTATTTGTCGTGGTTTATCTTCTTTTGGTTCAATACATTTAATTGTGTAAAAGCTTTATATTCTAGAGCGACAGAGATCTAGATAATTACAAACGAATATTTTGTATTCGTACATCAAAAATGACCTTACTAAGCAATTCTGTTAAATGTTTGTTCCAGTTGAATATATTATTCACTTTTAATAACTAGCGCGAATTTGAAAATAAGACTGTCAACCCGTTGTTGTTACTGTGATAACAGTAAAAAAAGAGAATTTCGCTATTGTAAAAGCACTTAAACGTTTTGTTTACTAGTACACATTTTGCTTTGTGATACTATATGCTCTGATTTGTGTTTGTAATCTAACGATTCCAATCAAGTTTATTGTAGTAAGAGCCATTGTAATTTTTAATGATTTTAACATTTTCGAAGACGTTAGAAAGATAAATATTAACTAGAACACTTGATGAATCGACAGTATATTGTTTTTTAAAATATTATAATTTTAGACATCTTTTTTGGCTATTAAAGTAATACTGTTTATTTACTTAAGTGGACTTCAAAACTGTATCTCTGATATTACTAGCAACCCAGTTCAATACTTAACAGTGTCGTCGCAATCGAAATCCGACCGTCGCTACTACCTTGATGTGGCGGTCGGGCTTACCTATTGTGATGAACCAATCGAGCTATACTGGTTGGAACAATCGTTCCTCAAGGTCCTACCATGCCAGACAGATCGGTTGAAGAGCAGTAAGACTAAAAGCAGCAAACCGAAGATCCAAAGACGTATTGCTGACTGTACAGAGGTGTGACGGCAGTAGAGTGTTTCCTTCAGACAACCAACATAACAACGATGCTGCCTTCCCTCAAAGAGGGGTGGGGTCAGAAAAGGTCGACCCTAAAAATGCACACCTCATCTTATCCCACGGATATCCGTCTCCGGCGGTAAGGTCCCAACAAATATGGAGCTAACACAAAAGCTGCTCATAAAAAGGTCGTGTGTGACCGACCTCAAGCAGTTGTCCCTTGGGCACTGCGGTCACGCTCTCAGGTCATTAAGACCACTTCTAACCCAATTTTCTTTTCAGATACCTCTAGAAGAACCCTCCCATGGTGTGGGAAGTCGGGAAGTGATAACTGCCCTCATTACCTCTAACAGCACTCAAGATCATGGTATTCATAATCAATTTCCTTTCTTCAATTCCTATCATTCCTCCTACCTCGACTTTCAACACTAAGCTTCCTCTCTCGGCTTCCTTTCCAAGTGTCACCATGGCCAACGATTCTAGTACGCGAAACACTGTCCCAGGTCTACTGAAACCTCGCTCCAAATTACACATTGGAGCCTTCAACTTGCGTACCCTAAGTCAAATCGGTCAGCATGCCTCCTTGGCTAAGACCCTAGAATATCGTACCATTGATGTATGCTGTGTCTCCGAAACACGCATACAGGATCCTAGTGTGGTCATTCACTTGATCTCAACCTGCCAAAACGGAGAGCCGACGAGATACACCCTCCATGTATCTGGCGACCCGTTGGCTAGTTCTCGCGGACTTGCAGGTGTAGGCATATCACTTAGTATGAGAGCGGAACAAGCTCTATTAGAGTGGGTCCCTGCTAACAGTCGCCTATGTGCTGTTCGACTAAATGGCTCCGTATGAACTCGGAAGGATAGGAACACACGTTGCCTTTTCGTTGTTTCTGCCTGCGCTCCCACTGATTGTAGCCCGGATTAAGAAAAGAATGACTTTTACAGAAAGCTCTCTAAACTTGTTCATAAAGCTAAAATCCCAGACATGTTATTCGTTGCATGTGACTTTCGTGCTCAAGTAGTAGCTTAGGCCAAACAGAAAGACATTTAGGTAGGTATTTTAGTATCCCAGCTCAGCGAACAGATAATGGTGATCATCTGTTGCAATTGTGCTCAAACAATCGTTTATTTTTAGCAAACACTAATTTTAAGCATAAGGAGAGATCGTCTAACATGACCACCTGCACCAAACCAACGATGGACTCAAATAGACCATATTGCCATCAGTCATCGTTGGAGAGGCTCGATAGAAGATTGTCGCTCGCTCAGGAATACATGTTTGGACTCCGATCATGCTCTAATACGAACATGCATCTGCTTTCGCCTCACTGGACGCAGAAAAGCCATACTAAGAAGACCCATTAGACTTGAACTGAGTGACAAGAAGGCCAAAATTAAGTCCCAGGAACAACTGAGGTCACACTTAGGTAGTTCTGTAAACGAGGCTGACCCAGATGTTGCTTGGAAAGATATACGAACAACTTTGGAAACAGCAGTGACATCTGTTAGTGATTTAAACCAAAGGATTACAAAAAAACCAATGGATTTCTTCTAAGTCTATTGCACTGATGGTTTCTTGAAAACTCATCCCATAAGGCTCTGAACACGATGAAGAGCGAAAGCAAATCAGATCTAGGTTAACCAAAAGTCTGCGGAACTATCTTGAGCAGTGGTGGGCAACAAAAGCAAAAGAGATGGGAAAGGCAGCGGCTATAAGTAGCACAAGACAGCTTTTCCGAATAATAGAAAGAACTGGAATTAAGAAGTCAAGTGTAAGTGTGACAATCTCGAAAAAAGATGAGACTCATCTGCTATCAGCCCAGACGTCTAGAACGATGGGCGGAACACGTTAGAGAACAGTTTAGCTGGCCTTCAGCTGCTGTACAACTAGCCACCATTCCCAGACAGTCTGAATGGTGCGTTGGAAGAGGTTACTCTACTCTAGTTGAAGTTCAAAAGGCTATAGCTAATCTGAAATGAGGAAGAGCAGCTTGCCCAGATGGATTGTCTCCAGAGATCTTTAAGTATGGTAGTACAACTTTAGTGATTAGTTTGAATAATATTTTAGCTAAAATTTGGGAAGTGCATGTAATCCCATCCGACCGGTCACAATCTCTGATTGTCCCAATATATAAGAAGGTGTCAAAATCATCCTGTGATAACCATAGAGGGATTAGTTTGACTAATATATCATCTAAAATACTAGCCTCAATAATTATTGGGCGCCTTGCTAAGATTCGTGAACTCCAAACACGAGAAAATCAGACTGGCTTCAGACCTGATCGTGGCTGTGTTGACCACATATTCACTATTCGTCAGGTGTTAGAACACAGGCATGTTTATGGGCGTACGACAGTGATAGTTTTTCTTGACTTGAAAGCAGTATTTCACTCTGTAGACGTAGAGATTCTGTGGAAGTGTCTGTCATTGAAAGGTGAACCCCAGGAGTACATAAACCTTGTGAAGGCTCTTTACTCGATCACTACTGGTCGAGTCAGAGCTTATGGCGAACTGTCATATGATTTTACAACCTCAAGTGGTGTCCGTCAAGGCTGTCCACTATCCCCATTGTTGTTTAACTTCATTATAGACCTGTTGCTGGAAATAACACTCTCTTCGACTGAATCTACAGGAATTGATCTCCTACCAGGGGGTCCATTAAGCGACTTAGAATACGCAGATGACATAGTCCTGTTTGGTGAAGACACTGGCAAAATACAGAGTCTTCTATTGGAACTAAGTAATAATGCCAGGATGTTTGGGATGCGTTTCTCCCCATCTAAATGTAAATTGTTACTCCAGGACTGGCCTGCGTCAACACCTGAACTAAGGATAGGGAGTGAAGCAGTCGAACACGTGGACAACTTCACTTATCTTGACAATCTGATCAGCCCTAATGGGTTGGTGTCTGACGAAATGTGTGTATGGATTCAAAAAGCTCGTTTGACCTTTACCAACTTACTTCATCTATGGCAAATGTGAGATATCCGTCTATCAATTGAGGGATGAGTATACTGCGCAGCAGTTCGCTCTGTTCTACTTTACGGCTGTGAAACATGGCCATTAAGAGTAGAAGATACTCGTAAGTTACTAGTATTTGACCACAGATGTCTTAGGAATATTGCTTGCATCTACTGGGATCACCGGGTAACTAATGGTGAGGTTAGACGTAGGGTATTAATGAATGACGGCAATTCAGCTGATGAGGTTGTGGATCTCCATAGACTGAGATGGTTGGTCCACGTGTTACGTGTGCAGGTGCATCCAGCTGACGAGTCCCAAATAGGACGAAACGCGCGTCAAACTGGATTCCACTGCTAGCCACTATCCATCTCTGCTTACCATGCTTGTGAATTAAGGTATATCGAGGCAATACGCACGGTATGCACATATGCCAATTAGAGACTGACCAGTTGCAGTCCTAAACACATCGATGGGAAGATCCAAACAAACAATACTAAGTGAATTCAAACTTCACCCCATCGCACAAGCAATTGGCTATCAGGACTCAGTGGCCGAGTGGATAACGCGATGGCGTTTGAAGCGAGGGTACTGGGTTCGAGTCCCAGAGTGAACATCAACTCTGAGATGCAGGTGCATCCAGCTGACGAGTCCCAAATAGGACGAAACGCGCGTCAAACTGGATTCCACTGCTAGCCACTATCGATCTCTGCTTACCATGTTAGCTAAATATAGTTGATATTCAGTTTTTTATTTTATTTATTCTCTACCCTTCAATTCGTGTGTATCATGTACAGCCCTAACAGAATTTAGAAGGGATAGTCATGATCTAGGTACCTGCAGCCTGTTCGAACTTCTGGGTCACCGCAAACGTGGATTTATACCCATAAATTTTCCTGTTTCAGATTTGTTTTTACACGGAATCACACTTGATAACTGGGTTTGCTTCTTCTAATGAGAAGGGCAATCGATGGCAATCAGAAGTGATCTAAAGAACAAGTGCATTTTATTAGCTATGAAATAGATCAATTTCCTAAGGATTAGAGTGGTACGTACATGAGTATTTGTGCATTTTATTCGGTAGCCCAATACACTTTCTCGCTGGAGTAGCCAGTTGAGGGGGGAGTTGGTGTGTAGCACACCGTGTATCAGTATCAGATTTCGGACACCGCCCGTCACAAAATCTTACACAATATGTTTGCAGGTTACAAAGTTAATTACTGAGAAACTCAACAACTACCACCACGGTGGCTCGTACATTTTCTTTCTCTGTTGTCCTTTGAGAAAACTAGGTGATTACTCAAAAATTCATCCATTAAATATATTATTTAACGTAGGAATGTTGTGGGAGCAAAACTGGTCGTGAATATTTACTGATGATCGCTGTTTGAAAACTTCGGTATGCTTTCTGAATATTCACAAGTTAAATACAGTATTACACATTTTGTGCTGAAAATTCTTATCTGTAACCAGAAATATGGTACTAAGGCAAGTACTATTATTTAAAATTACATAAACTACCAAAGAAAACACTAAACTCATTACATTACTGTCTTCTTTTTTTGAATTTTTCTCGTTTTTCTCCAGCTTTTAATACAAGGTGATATCTTTTTAAATACTTCTCTTACTGAAGCGTTTTGTATAGCCATTCTTGAAGCAGTCTCATGTGGGTAAGTAGTTTTAAAATATCTTCACTGCCGAGCAGGAATCAAAGTAATTGCAATATTATTACCTACCACCGTTCTTCTATGTATAACCGTTTTGATTGTAGTTATTATGACGAAAATTTGGAATCTACTGAACGAAGAATATTCTTTTCAATAATTTCTCATCAGATTCTACAATTATAATTATTGAAAAGAATATTCTTCGTTCATATAATTGTGTTTTAATATGATGGGAATTTTTCAGCGATTAAAATCTACTGAACGTTAAGACGATGAATAACTACCCCTCCGTGATCTATATTTCACCTTTTAGAGGCCTTTGGTTCATAGATAATTATTAGAAGCATAGGTGGCTGTAATTTTAAGTCTTTTCACATATTTTTGTGAAAAGAAATCCCTGTGATATATTTAAAGTTAACGTTTAACTCATTAGGTCACAGGTTCAAATACTCGTCACCCTCTTTGATCGAACAATCGAACGGAGAGTACTTTTATCGATTATATCATAATTGTAACTTAAACTCAAGTGCACGAACCATGAACTAATGGCTAGTTCGTATTTGATATGTAATTTAATTATGTAGCATTTCTCTACGATATTTTAAATGACATCATTCATGTCATTATGAAGTTAGTTTTCAAATATCTGTTTATTGTAATTTCGTAACGTGTATCTGAATCTGATATTCTTAAAAAAATTTGATAGCCCTTAAAACTGCATATTATTGTCAATAAGGAACTAATTGAATTGGATATTACCTTTGTTATCGTTGATATATTTTCTGTATAGTTTAACAGTCTTCATTGTTCAACCAAAGCAGCACACACAGACCTTTCCATAGCTGTTACTCCACTAACGATTGAATAAGTCAGCCTGGCTATCCGACAACTTAAGAGTGTGAAAGCAGAAGGACCTGAAAACATACCAGCTGAAGCACTGTAGTCAGACATAGAGGCAACTGCAAACATGCTTCATGTTCTGTTCAAGAAGATTTCGATGGCAGAACAAGTACCAACAGACTGGAAAGAAAGACACCTCATCAAAATACCACGAAAGAGATCTAAACAAATGTGAGAGCTACGGAGGCATCACACTACTACCGGTACCAGGGAAAGTTTTCAACAGAGTGTTGATGAACCGGATGAAAGATTCAGTAGACGCACAGCTTCCAGATCAACAAACCAGATTCTGTAAGGATCGGTGCTGCACAGGCCAAATCGCTACACTATGGATCATTGTTGAACAATCGACTGAATCGAACTCGTCACTATATATCAACTTCCTTGACTACGAGAAAACGTTTGACAGTGTGGATATGAAAACTTTACAGAATCTTCTTTGGCATTATGCTTTACCTAAGAAGATCGTCAACATCATCCGTAATTCATACAACGGACTACAGTGCGAAGTCGTGCATGGAGAACGGCTGACAGACTCATTCCAAGTGAGGACCGGAGTCAGACAAGGCTGCTTACTTTCCCCCTTTCTCTTTCTTGTGGTGGTTGACTGGATCATGAAGACCTCCACACCTGAAGTGAAGCACGAAATGCGATGGACAGCTTGGATGCAGCTAGACGATTCTGCTTGACAGATGACCTAGCCCTTCTATCGCATACACAACAACAAATGTAGGTGAAGACAACTAGTGTAGTAGCAACCCCTTCATCAGTAGGCCTCAACATACACAAAGGAAAAAGCAAAATCTTCAATACGAACGTCAAAACAGTTTGATTTTACGAAGCAGAAACTTGGAGATCAACTACAACTATCATCAAAATGTTGTGGGTCCTTGTAAACAATTGTGCATACAAGATACTCCATCTTCGATGGCTGAAAGACATGAGTAACAGCGTCCTATTGGAGAGAGTTAACCAGCTTCCAGATGAGGAGGAAATTAGTAAAAGCTACTGGAAGTGGATAGAACATAAATTGTGGGAGCCATCAAACTCCATCATGAGGCAAGCGCTAGCTTGGAATTTTGGATCGGAAGGGAAAAGAGGAATACCAAGGAACACATTACGTCTGGAACTGGAAACAAACATGAAAAGGATGAATAACAGCTGGAAAGGGTTGTCCAGGACAGAATTCAACTAAGAATGCTGGTGTGGGGCCTATGCTCCACGAGTGGTAACACGCGTAAGCAAGCAGGTATTGTTCTACTATAACTTTCTCTTTACAGTTCGCGTGGACAGTCGAAACAAAATAAAAAATTCCTTCGTTCATTGTGTTGCATGTATAAATTCGTATACCACTAAAGAATGTTCCGACTTGTGGCCATTTCGCCACCATTTTCTTTAACGATGGATTAAAAAAACTGTCAATGATTACGATAAACACTGTAAAACAGTTAACTAGATTGTTATATTTCGTGCTTACACCGATGGTTTTATTTTAGTCTGAGAGTCAGTTGTGGAAATATGTAATCTCGTGTAAACTGTAACACAAAACTCAGTTATTGGACTGAGTAAATTATTCATAATTCATTGAATATAAAGTTGATGATCACTGTTTCCCTCAACCGGTATAGTTTAATTCACTTATCAATGTCACATTGGTAAATATCTCTTTCAGTTTAATCTATTTTAAAACTTGGACTTTTCATGTAACTTAGATCTCAAAAGTATACAATTGATTAATTACAGATTTACTTGTAAGAAATGCAGTAATTTATTCAAATAATTTGTGTGCTAATTAATTTTATTGAAAAATTTTCTTACAGCTTAATGGTTATCAGTACAGCTGTTGGGGGACTTCCGGAAGTTCTACCCGAGCATTTTATTAGACTTGCACCAGCAAACGCTTCAGAATTAGCCACTATTGTTGCAGATTCCATTATTCAAGTTCGGCAGCAACGCGAAGATTCGAAACTTACAGCTCATGAACAAAAACCTATGGATAATTTGACTTCAAACAAGGTAATTTTTATACATGTATGAAAACTGATTGTTTTTCTTATGAATACAACGGGTGTTTTGTCCATTAAACATGCTCGATATTCATCATATGTATACTAAGACCTGTTTGTAGTTTTTAACCTTCATTGAGAGACGACTCTATATATACTTGAAAGTAACTGATTTCTTCTGGATATATGATTTGATTAAACGCGTGGACTAATTATACAACTATCAGTCACTAAACTATAGGTTACATCCTACTTCCCATCTATTTAATAGTTATCACACGAAAGTTGTATTTTAGTTCATCCTGAACAGTTAAAGCTTTATATTCACCGTTTTATTATCCAAAGTTGATGTTTCTGATTGTCAATTTATATCTTGTTCCTGTGAGTCCATGTTAAAAGATAAATATTTAATCTGCCAGTAAAAAGATAACCACTCTTGATTCAAAATATTTTATGTATTTGTTCGCTTTTTAAAGTTCATACTCTGGCTTGTTATATCCAACGAACCTAACTGAAATTTAAAAATTAAATCAGTGAGAAAAGTAATGTTAAACAGGGAAGTCTTGTTTTAAAAGTTGTTCAATACTTTAAATAAAATAATCTTAGCTCCTTTAAAGTACTAAAAAGTTCTTTATTGGTCCTAAGTATGCTAAAACGAAAAATCCAGAAGTTGGGGTTCGGTGAACCGAAATAATCTTTGTCGCCAAAATATCACATCAAAAATTGGCTTTTCAAGGTTCCGTTGTGTATACATACATATACATTACACAATAACAGCTTAGTGTGACTTGAAAGATTTCCTATTTTCCTTTTAAAAGTAAAATTTATATCCGTTACACGAGATAAAGGTATCTGGACTCATTAACTCAGTGGAAAATGGACTAGCATGTATGGCGAAAGATACTGGGTTTAAGTGTCGTTTTGGAAATCACTGAAATCTAGGTACTACATCCAGCCACAAGTCTTAGATGGTATAAATGCGCATTCTAGATTCCCTTAATCAACACCAATAAAAACTAAGTGCTATATACCTATATATAAACATCAGTCCTTTTTAAAAATGTTATTTACCTACTCATTTTACAAAAGCTGGACATATGTACCTCACCTCCAAATCCTCTTTGTCGATTTTCATTGATCGCCGATTCATCTACACATTTTGATGGTACTGAATTTAATTGTAATTCACTTACTGATCATTGTTGGCATATGCATAAATGGATTCGTAGTATGTACTGTTGGCCTCTAGTTGCTAAACGTACGGAAAAAGTCTATTCTGCTGCTATGTCTAAACCACCTGTTTCACTACAAGACAGAATCTCAAGGTAAGAATATAAACTGGATTTCCAAATGTTTCTGTGAAACAAGTTACCTGATTTTAATCTTCAGCTTTTAGAGTGAAAGTAAATGTAACTCTCAAGAGAAAGAGATTTTCATCCGTGAGATATTTCTAATCTAGATCTCATTACTAGACAGTTTCCAACATATATTTATTGATAACTTCATTTCATATGGCGTGAATAATATGAATAAGTATTTCTAATTAGTAGTATAAATAGTATATCCAAAAGAAAGTAGTATGGTTTTTTTTCTATTTCTCAGTAAGTAGCACTAGTAGTTTGTTTTAACAATCATTTTATTGTACTGTAGTTTTCTCAAGTAATCAATGTTAATAAGCCTGAAAATTAATCACTGTATGGAATAGTTCAAGTAAACTGACTTCTTGCACTTTAATGATTATAATATTCAGCAGCTAAATGAACGACTATTAAAAGATAAGACTAAAGATATCAGTTTGTTGTATTTGTACTGATTTGGTCAGAAGTGTTATCCTTTCTGTAGCATTCAGTTATTCCTGTGTGAAGAGTTAACAAAAAACAAGGACATTTCTATAACAAAAACACCTGACAAAAATTCTATTTATAAATCAGAAATGGAAAAAACATTCAGCCGGTCCAGTTATTAAAAAGTACAAATAAGCACCTTTCAAGAACATAAGAATGTATTCTTTGCAGAAAAAGTGATTTGTAGGAATTATGTTTGTATCTAGATATCAAAAAACCTCTTACTCTTTCGTTTATAGTTTCCATCTTAAAAGTTTTAATTTGCACGTTCCACTTTATAATAATGAAGCTAATGTTTGTAAATATCAACTGTTCTTCCGTAAACAATTTCATTATTGTATAAGCTAACTTGCAATTACCTGATATTCTCATTTTCTTAAATTAGCCCATTACAAAATGTAATAACTTTGACTTTTACTGTCAGTTTGAAATAGATCACTAAAGTAATCATAAAAATTGGTAATTCATGCAAAAGAATAACCATAATGATTCCTCCGTGACCTGCATTCACCTTCTATTTCTCTATAGCTTAGGTGATCGCGTAATTGATTAGTACATGACTGACCGGATAATTAAGATCACTCTGTAAATTGCACAGAGTTATTCAACGTAGTTACATTGACTTAGGAGTTAAATGGTTATAATGACAGTACAATATAATCCACCACCCAGCTTAGTGTGTATGCTTTACAGATATGTCTTAGTCCAACAATCTGATCAAGGGCATTAGGGATAAAGTTATGAGTAAATTAGTTATCATCAGCCACTGAGAATCAACTGTAACAACAAATAAGTTATATGATTTTCTATATTTTGTGTATTAAATGACAGTTTTATTTACTTGATATATATCTAACAGTGGCTATCTTTGCACCATCGTGATATTAGTCTGGCTGTAAAAGATCAGGTTTTTCAGCGTGACGGCGACATCTGTTCTGTGTATTTAGAAAACATATCCTTTCCAAGTTGAAGATGTTAGGCTACTATGTGTTCGATCATCTCTCTCCGGTGGCAACACCATATGAGTGATGTTAAAGTTCACCAATGTGCGTTCAAATCCAACAATGATAATTCAGTTATTATCACCACTTTGAAACACTGACTTCAGTGACTTGGACATGTTTCACGAATATGTTACACATGCAGCCTTCCCTTCTTGCGTTATTTACCAACGCCAGTTGGGAAAATCAATGACATGGCTATTCAGAGGTTTAAAAAGTTATATTGTTCAGACTAGAAGCTAATAACGATCGGACTGTAGTTTATTTTTCGCTCTTCATAAAAGTAAAATGATCTTAACTGAGATCATGAACCGATCAATGTTTACCACCATTCAAAACCTGAAAGCACTGAACGGCCGTTTTATTCCTAGTATGGGATTCCTCTGCAGTGCACATCCACGCACGCGAGACTCTGACCCAAAACATTCGGTCTCGTACGCGAACGCTCTAGACAACTAAACCGTCATCCAACGGCATTAATGTCTAACTTCGGCCAACCTACAACATCGCGCGACCATCCTCCATTGTCTTCAGTGTGTAACTGCCTCACACCTGACACGGCTGAACTCCACTGGTCACGGCTTCTCCACAACCCTGTACTGATAAAACGGTTTTCCTTGACTGAAAAAAGTTTTTGTTAGCTATATTTTTATTTGAACAAAATTCCTATTTAAATACTATTCTTGTTTATTTACTTGATTATACTACCCTTTTCCATTTTATTTCTTCACAGTATATTCCCTTCACTCGTTTGGCGCATACTGTTTTCGGTGGCATATTGTACTAGAATCCATTACTTATCTAAATGTTTAGGTTTAACCAGGATTCACAGACATTATCTCAATTGTTTTTCAGGATTTACTAAGCTTTGAACTAGTTTTGGTACTACGTTATCAAAGTTGTTGAGATCAAATTTAAGATGCTTTACATTTGTGCATAAATGTGTTTACTTTTCATTATGTTCTGGTTTGTTTCTTTTTAATTCAGATTATACCAACTTGGTCCACTTACTGGGAAAATGACATGTTTTGCCGCTATTTTACACTGGCTTCTTCTTCAATTTATTTCGTGGCTTAGACCTGAACAGGTTTGTTAGTATGCTTTGATAAGCTGAGATATAGTTATTTTTCGGTATTTTATTTTAGGAAATTTCTCAGTCAATTCATTTCCTTTTAAAGAAATAAGAGAATAAATGATAGTTTTATCACTGATTTTTAAAGATTATTCATGGCAAAGTTTCTAAATGATCCAATAATATCAAAATAGTTAAGTCTAGATAAATCAGAACTGGTTCCAGAAAATTTGTCAGCTGTACGAATGCACCAAATGCAATCCAATCTGTAATTGTTGTGTAACAATTTAGACTATATTAAGGAACATTGTTCATGAATAATTATTATTTGTTGTTCAAGTAAATCATACATTTTCTCACCTCTTGATCAACAAAAGACTGCGTTGAAAGGCATATTGCCTATAGCTGAGTAACGTAATTTTATTTGAGGGTTATTTACTTGTAGCCAAACTCACTAAGGTCGGAACATATGGGTGATGATTTTGTCAAGTCGAATACTTCATCCAACAAAACCTGGCTACTACCATAGAAATCAACTCGATTTTTACTACTTGGATGGGTGCACTTGCAATTACACTGAACTACATCGATGAAAGTCGTGTAAAGACTACATAACTTGCAGATATTAAAAGAAAATGAATCTTTCATCTAAGGTAATTCATAACTCCGTAATATTCACTGAGTAAGCTCGCCTCCTTTTATTGAGGTCTTTCCAAATACACTAACAGTAACTTATTTATTAAATGAGCACAGTTGAATACTATCATAATGTTAAGTAGAAATACTAGCCAGGTTTCAGTATCACCTTGAAATAAGTTTTCAAAATATGGTTAATTTAAGTATGATAGTGTTGCAGAAATCTTTCAATATTTACAGATAGTATCTGTAATAGACTATGGATAAATGATTTATCTGAGAGCTGAAACGCTTCTTCATGTTTATATTCTGTATTCAAAGGTTCTAACGGTTTCTTCAGAATAGTTTTATTGTTATTTCCAATAAATTTTAGAAAAGAAGGTAAACAGTGATCTACCTAAGATTTTCAGAAATAGTAATGTTGGATATAATGCACTAAATAGCAATTCCACGAGTCAATCAGTACTCTAATGGTCACCACTTAATCAGCGCCTGAGTAAGAAATAAGACTGTGGTACACACGTCAATGTATTGAGATTAGATTAGCCCGGTTAGGTATTCACAAATCAATTGTTATTTCTCTAACTAATATTAGTAACTGACAGAGAAAATCACCTTTTTCTAAGTCTATTAACCTGAAATCAAGTTCTTTACGGTAATCTGTTTTACTGTTCTTTAAAACTCAGATGATCGATATAATGCCATCACTTGAAACACCTATAGAAGATTTCAGTGATAGCGAATGTGAGGATCTTTCTGTTGATTCACACAAATAATATTCAAATGATGACTACAGTTTTCAATATCACGTTTATTTTGATTGTATTGAACTAATAACTGTGTAATTCTTCTGTGCATAATTTTTATTTATTCGTTAAAACGTAATCATTATTCTTTTAAAGATTTAAACTCAAATTGTTTGTTGTTCTACTCTTAAATTTTACAACCAGAAAAGGTTTTCATCTGTAGTGTAATAGCTAAGATAATATTCCTACGAAATCCGCGCTAATAGTATTATTTTCAATTAGGATTTTAGCTTATCACTTAAGACATTTAGTTCAAGACCTATCTACTTTTCAAGTAGAAACGTAACTTCTCACATGATGTTTATATACATTTTAAGAGAACAATGATGGCTTAATTTGAGTTTGAATTTGTGTTGCCGTCGAACAAATCATGTCAGGTATTAAAAGTCATCATTCACTGATGGTTGTATTAAGTGATTTTCACAAATGTTTTGTAAACTGAAAAATCATTTCTAAGACCTTTTGTAGTCTTAAAAAGTATTCCCTATGGTGTCCAATAACTGACTCTTTTTAGAAAAAATAGTATGATTATGAAACGGTAGAATACGAATGTAAACCTTGCCATTACTAGTCCATGTAAAAACCACCTAGACACAAAATAAACATCCAAACTTATATTAAGAAAGTATTGATCGATCAAGAGTACAGTGCCACTCATTTATGGATAACCAAATGGTAGAAGACATTTTTCTATCAATAAATACAGTCGGTCCTGTCTTTATGATTCTAACCCTCACTATCACATACGAAGTTTCGATAATGTTTAAAGTTGCAACCTTTTCTTCCCGGAAGATCCATATACCTTCTCAATTTTCAAGAGGACAGACATTTCACTAAACCTATAGATGCTGACTAACTATAATCGATCATAATAAACTCATACTGCCCTTAATTACTGTGTGATCTTTCTACCAGTTTTAATACCCTAAACTTATTATTATTAGGATGTTTATCCTTGCTTACTTATTGGCTTAATCATAGATTTTACGACCTTAAACTCTTCCATATCCCTTAATAAGCTATCTTTCCTTGCCATCTTCAAACTACATATCATCTGACCAGCATCTTATAATTCATGCCATGAGTTAACGTTGTGTTAGTGTGATATACCAAATGGATATCTAACCCATAATACAGAACCCTTAGTTGTATAATTTGCTTGTAACATGGAACTAGTAGGGGCGATGCATTCCAACAAGGTGTGGGACACGAAGTTCAGACTAAAGCAGTATTCAAACATACTACAAACGTAAGATAGGCAAACATCGAAAAGGAAGGGAGGATGGCGTTTTTGACTAGTGAAAACTGCCTGTAAAGTAAGACATTTTCCTTTCTTACGGCTATTTGTGGTCTACCGGGACTTCACTAATTGGTGGTATTGTTATTTTTCTATGCCGATTACCACTTTGACTAATGTTTGCAGTTTTAAAAATTTCGGCCCCTTTGAATATCCTTCGTTTATACAGTTCTCTAAGCATTTGCTGCAGGGCTACCGGCTTATTTTTCATGAGTTATCCAAGTACACAAATGTAACTATGAATTCCGAACCCCTTCAGCATGAAATTAACAGTGCTATACAAATATACGGTTACTGAGCGAAATCGCCTTGATTGTAGTGACCGCATGCTATTTCTGGAGATCAAAATAACCAGTATGGTTCCTGGTTTGTAATGCCAACCATACATAAGGAAATTCAAGCTTGAGACCGATGGATGGATATCGTGTTAAATTAGACAAATCCAGAGCAAGTGCCCTTTAGTATCCTTACGTTGTGGTTCTGACTTAAAAAGTGGGCAATCACAGTGGTAGTGACACTAGTTCTGGTTCGATGGTAAATAAGATAAAAGAATCCCAGTTAGATGGGAGCAAACACCGGAAATACTGGAGGGAAGTGCAGCATAAAGACAGAAACTTAAACAAAATGGATGTACCACATAATTAGCTAGGTTGAATAATTCTTATCAAAAAGGGCTATCCGAATGGTTAAAGATAGACCGATGCGGGTCCGTAAATCATCTAAAAGAAGGAACGACGAAGCCAATCACAATGGAAAGGACATTTTATGTCAGTGTTATCCCCCATTGTCTTGGGCCTAGAGCTCCCTTAGGTAGAGTTGAGTTACTTCGATAGAGAATCAACGGAATAATGGAAATTATTGCGGCAATTCGGGACGTACATGCGCTTAAGGTCGTCGATGACGGTCAGTGCTTATCATACCTTATATAAGATAAAGGCAGATTTCAATGGACGTGTAATGATGGACCGTTTCGTTGGTTATAATAAAGTTAATGAGATCTTGGAGCTATTTTTCAGACAGCTTCATTGCGGTGCTTATATGAACCAACGATTTTTTGTATTGATAACTGTTATGATTTTGAATTTCAAATGCACTTCATTCGTTCGTGGTCACTAATACTTCTTGAATAAATTGCGTTATTGCTGGGATTAATAGTTCACACTATAATTTAAATACTTCAAATGATTGCATTCATGTAATTGCTTGAGTAGACAAGGAAGGCTTGTTTAGTAGTGTGAACATTCGTTATAATGAATCTGGAAAGTTACCAAAACTGGCTATAAGTGTGGAATATTGTGCTGTGATCCTGGAACAAACGTACTTTACTGCCAATTTAGACTTATTAATTAAAGAGAATCGGGAGGTTGATGCATCAGCTACTGTAAGTAAACTTCGTTGATGAAGTGACGAAAAAGATCTCACCTTTTCCGAACTCACTAATTTTATAGAGTCCCCTGCCAGGATCGCTAGTAATAGGTTCGGACAGTCGGCGACCTGTCCCAGAAGGACACAACGTGAAGATGAGTCACCACTTACAGCCTGGGCGGCAGGATAGCTTAGTGATAAAACATGAGTACAGTATATGCTCTAATCACCGAAATACTTAACAATGACTGTTTATTGGGGCTGACTGTGAGATCATGGTGTTAGATTCATTTTGAAAGTGAAAATCTCTCCATGCATACGTTTGTGATTTCTTCCTTATGGTTTCTTTATTTGTATATGTTGTTAACTTTTTTGATGCTAATTAAATCTGTAACGTTTAATTTTCTTGGTTTTACTATTGTTTTTTATTGAGTCTATATGTTCCTTACTGAACTGTATCTAGTTTTATTTTAATTGTTATTATTCTGGTGGCTGCCATATTGACTGCTCGCTCTTTGATTGTGCGGTTCGATCTTGACTGGGATCGAGCATTTTTGGTTGTAATTTGGAGCAATTTCCCAGAAATCGAAACACCTTGAGTTATAAAACAGCCGCTCAAACGGAATCTTACTTGATCTATCCAGAAAGGATAGAATAACACTCGCCTTTTGGTGTTTTCGGTAATTTTCATATATTTCTTACCACTTTGCTATTCATTGTAATTTAGATTGAATATTTTGGTATCAATTGTCGGTTGAATAACTGGGTGGTAACAATTGTTTAGGTAAATGTGTACATTTGTATATATGATGAAATTTAGAACCGTGTTACCCAAAACACCTTGTTCTGATTTCTATTGGGGGGTGCGCGTCTCTAATTTTACTCGTCAGTTATTCAACAAATCAAACCTAGTTGGAAACTAGGTTTGGATCTTACACATGGGTCGCAATTTGTAGTTGTGCGACGTCTTCTTTCCGTTTCCACCTACAAAGAATATATATGGCGGTGTGGGGTGTGGTGATGCCAAAAAATAAATACAAGGATTCATATAATTACATTATGAGTGAAACTGCGTTACCTAAAGTAATGGATTATAAAGGTCTAGGAGTCAAAATAATCAAAGACCCCAGAACTGTTTAGCTGTCACTGCCAAAGGCTTTGTAGTCTTACGATCTATTCACACGCCCTTTGTTTACTTGGACGAAGAAATGCCTAGGGTAGCGTAACCGACTTTTATAAATCTGTTTTTGTAACACTTGATTCAAGCAGAAAGTCATTGTTTCAAGTATGAAGAAACTTTTCGATCATGTCGAAAGTATGCCAAACCTAGTTTAACGGCGAGGGTCTAAAACAGTGAAAGTTACCTCTGGCCTAACTTATGAAGTCACATTGAGAGATCTCAACCTATATCTGTTATCTTACGGCAGGATACGGAATAATTTAATATTGGACTACTGCATACTGAACGATAATCTTAGTATGAATGCTTTATTATTCCTTCCGTTCCGGACTGATAATCTAAGAGGAAATTGTAAGAAAGTGCGAAAACCGAGGTCAAATATTTTACGCCTGGAGTTACTTTTTTTGCACCGGGTAGACAACCATTGGAGTTTCTTCACCAGAATATGTGACACCAGCAGTTTTTGTTGAAACATTGAAGGTAGTATTGGGCCCCTACAGTACAACTAATTGCAAGGATTAGTGTGGGTTGATTGACCTCTTATCCTTACTACAGAAAACTAAAGGTGATAGTTTGACCTTCAAGTGCTCAGCAACTTTCATTGATGAAAGATCGCACAGGATCGTTGTCAGCTGGTCCGTGGGTTGTAGTCACATTCCGTTTTTCTACCCATTTTTGATAACGTACTCATGTAGCGACGTCAAGTCTATTGTGTACGATTATCAACAGTCACAGTACATTGATACCACGAGAAGGTAATTACCGTCAGTTATTAACGGTGAAGTGTGACTTTCACATAAGCTAGGTAACAACACTCCCATCCATATCTAGTGGTCAATCACTGACACAAACTACATACATTTTTGATCCACTAAATAAGGATGTTACTCTAACTGTAAATGGCTGCGTGTTCTTGTACTTCCGGCTCATCAGCGTAGATCACCAACGTAGACTGTCTGTGTCGATGAAGGGCTTACCAGAACTGAATGAGAACTACGTGACCTCCTAGCTCACATCGAAGTCACACCTCACGGTCAGTATCAGACATTGAACACCCTTTCGTCGTTTCACGGCATTATGACTCTCTTGATGAACACACCACAAAAACAACGGTAATACAGAAATATATTGGTAAGAGTAGGTAAAAGGAACAAAGTGCTACCACTTCATTGTGGACCAGTTCATAGTGTGCATTCGGTTGATGCTCGTTGTTTTTCCTTGACCTTGGCGAGGGTCAGTAAAATCGTGAATATTCAGCGGCACGACCACGGGCTGATTTGCCTAGTGTTCGGCAACATTTCAGGCGTCAACACTGTAGATCATCAACGTTGATGATCTATGTCGAATGGATGGAAGCTTGCTAAAGTAAGACATGAATGGTGTGACGAACCAGACAACGTCGAAATTTACACCTGGCGAACAGTATCCAACGTGGATTACACTATCAACATATCAAAGTACTATGGCTGCTTTGAAGACTGTATAACACAAAGGGTGTGATTACGTAAATGTATTAGTAAGAATGAGTATAGAGGTGTTAGTGAGACCAGCATCGCATGGGCCAGTCCGTGACGTATGATAAAGTGATGCGCGTTGATTGTCCTAGATCTTGACAAGGATCGATGATCTATTCGATATTCAATGACCTAACTACCTGATGATACAGCTAAGGCTTAATGACACTTCAATGCTCTTACAACACTGTGGGATCACGGCAATTTTTAAAATGGATTTTTATTTCTTCATTGTTCACGGTCGACAGTTAAAGCTAATTCTGAATAACTTTGTACACCTACAATTTCATTCTGGAACTAGGAAAATAGTATTTCTGGCAAGACTATAATTTTTGAACGAACCAATCAGATTAAAAATGGTACGTCTTAGATTCTGGCGCAAGATCCATCCACTCATTTGTCTGAATACCATTTCAGCATTATGGTTGATATCAGTTCAAGATGAAAACATCAAATATAATTTCTGACCCCAACGTTCACTGTAAATCCCAATCCTAGTTCCTCGAACTGATTTATAACCTCACGAAAAGACAATTCTCCTGGGCCGGATATGGTTCATTCTGCTATACTGAGGGAAGCAGATTCAATCCTGGCAACACTTTCTTAACGTGATGTTCGCACACTCGCTAAGCCAAGGCAAACTACCGGAAATTTGGAAGCTTGCTCACATCACACCAAATTTTAAATAAGTTCGACGCAGCGAGCCTTCAAGTGGCTATTCTCTCTATACATTCAAAAGTTATGGAGTCCCTGATATGCGGTTGTAAACACGACTATTTATTATCCATAAATTTTTCATCAAAACAGCTTGGTTTCAGGAGGGGTCACTGCTGTATAACCAACCTGCTGACTCCGGTGAACAAATGGACAATCATTCTTGATAGCAAGGCAGAAGGTTGACGTCATTTACCTGGATTTCTCAAAAGCTTCTGATAGGGTCAACCACATATGTTTTATCAATAAGCCCAAACAATTAGGTATCAAACCACTTCGACTCTACCGGTTAACTTCATATCTAAAAATCGACATTTTAAGGTCAGGGTTAACTTCACTTTCTCTCAGGCTATGGAATGCTATGGGGGGTGGTCTAGGGCTCATTACTAGGAACTCTTCTCTTCTTGATTTACATAAACGGTCTCCCACAACAAGTTTCTTCTGACTTATTGCTTTTTGGTGATGATGGGAAACTTTGGAGAGGGATACGTAACCAAGAGGACATACTGGCACTTTAGGAGGAGCTGACTGAAGTTCAAAGTTATGAAGACAACAACGGACTTACAGTCAACACTTAAAAATGTAAAGTAGTCCATCTGCGACATGTTGCAGACCACAGTTACAACTTAGGAAACTCCTCTTTAGAAGTTTCCCAAGTCTAAAAATTCTTAGGAGTGTTGGTAACCTACGATTTGAAGTAGTTCGTGAACTGTGACAAAAACGCCTCTCAAGCAAACCTTGCACTGGTAACATTGAAGCAAATTTTTGGCCAGTTTGACGGAAGAACTTTCCACATAATCTTCAACAGTTTTGTTTGTCCCAATTTAGAGTACGGAAACATAGTATTTCCTCTCTCTCCAAAAGGATAGGGACACTCTGGAACGTATCCAACGTCGAGCCACGAAATCAGTTCGGGGATTCAAATTTAAACCTTATGAAGAGCGCCTCCAATCACCTAACCTTTACCTGTTAGAGTTTAGGCGTCTTAGAGGTGAATTTCCTATGACTCACAGTATCCTTAACACTTGTGATCATCCCCTTAAACATCTTCTTAAGCTTAGTCACAACAACCTAAGAGTTAACACCCCGAAACTGGAGATCTAACATAGCAGAACAGACTGCAGACACAACTTCTACTCCGTAATAATTGTCAAATGCTGGAATTCTCTGCCGACTGAGCTAGTGCAAGCGACTTCCCAGGAGTCCGTTATAAGGAAACTTGACTTATTCTTAAGGACTATGGATAACATATTAACATGATTTACCAAATTCATTTTTTCCTCTATAATCGTTAATATACCTAGGTTATTGCCTGGAGGTATAGGTGATCCACTGCTACTAGACACGGAAGCCCGTTAAGCGAGAGCTTCTTCTATTCCGTCCTCAACCATTTGAACCAACCATTGGAACCCTAGTAAGTAGGTCGCTATCAAGGTCATTATAGAGTTGCCCAAATTTCGTCCAGAAGCCATAGTCTCACCGGTCTTGTACTTTGTAGTACATGGGATCGCATAGTCCTTGAGAACTGGTTCTCCACGTGCTGCTGAACAGTTTTTTCACAATTACATCTCAGGCAAGCATTGATTTCCAACTAGTCATAAACTATGTGTAGACTGATTTAGCTTTATGTGAAATAACGTGAATAAAATATATATATCGTTAACATTTTACTGGCCCTACATAACCCTTCTGAGCTTTCAAATGGTTTGAAGAATATGGGTTTGGTATGTTCTACCCAATCTCTATGAGACTATCTGGAGCATTGGATTCAAGTAGGTAGTCCATATATTACTCAAGACCTTGACACACTTGATATCTGGAGCTTTCAAGCTAAGTTAGTGATGACTTTTTTCAAACTATTCAACGACAAGCGGTTAACATGCCTAAATCTTTTTCCTGTACGGAAAAGCGGCACTTGCGGTTAGTTGCAATACCTTGTGGTATACTTTTGTTAATCCAACTCAAGTATTTTGGGTAACCGATGTAAAAATACAAATAAATTTTATATAATCATATGTTCACTAAAGTCGCATCATCAATTTCCAGAATTTTTTCAACTTTTTCCTCGCGTTACAATTAGCAAGATTAAGATATGCTGTAACAATAGTGAACTACTACACAAACCCGTCCTATTTTTTTCTTTGTTCCGTATATCTGGACGAATAAACTTCGCAGGATGAAAAATAACAGTAAGAGGTGAAAGTGTTAGTTATCAGAGGCCGATTCGTTTTTGGGGATGAAAACTCAAGAGCCCTTCATTACCCATTATGCTGAAACGTAGAAGTCCTCAGGTACAGGCCATTAACTCTTGCCTAGTGAAAAATATACTGCCGGTAGGTTTGAGAAGACAGCAACGAAATTTACTCCGAAAATTCAGTGAGGAGTGAAGGGATTGGAAAACGCTGCCCAATCCCGCTGATTTAGCGTAACAAGAGAGATGTGTTTGTGTGCCCTCACTCCCCCTATAATGTTTGTAAGGCCGTCTAGATGGTAATGAACTCAGTCACGCTCTTAAATAGACAATCTCTGTAAATAATCCTGTTCAACAAACCATTCATAGGTCACCTTCGACTCATCAACTGTTCTTCGGGCCTGTGTATTATAGTTAAGTTAGTAAGTTGGTGCAATTAGAGCTCTCTTTCCCGCTGTCTAAAGTAATTGTCCTTTGGATTTATTTTAGTTTGTGCCATAGAAAATCTGGAAACGCCGTTCAATATTATGGCAATATGCAACGGAGTTTTCGGGTCATTGTGTGCTACTCATGACTTTTCTTATAACGAGCAGGATGTCTACGAATCATAACTTGTATTTATATACACATCTGTTCTCAATGTAATTAATCTAAGAGCTAACTTGGAGAAAAACCGCGGTGTTTTCATTTTGTAGCTGGTTACCTTTTGTTCTTTTAAGGTTTACAATTTATTTGCTATGTTGACTCTATATTTCCAATAAAAATGTCGTTAGATGCTCTCCAGTCGTTTCTCAGGTAAACTATTGCTATATTACGTAAGGTGACTGTCAGTTTCTGTATTTTCTACACATAATTTCCTTATCTCGTTGGACATGGTTACCATATCATTTTGACAATAATGGGTTTCAGTGCATTTAAACGCAGATCTTTTCATCCAGATTTGAAGTGAAGTTCATGGAAGAGGAATTTTCTACAACTATCAAGGAATATCAGACCGTTTTAGAGTCAGTGGATAAAAAGCTTACATCAGTCATTACTAACGATCGATTTCTTAATGACCTTGTTCCGAAGTCGGATCACGAAGTAGCTGAATCCATAAACCTGCCAATAAATAAAGAAGTGATGAATACCATAGAAGTTCACTTTGGGCGAGTAAGTTCTATTTCTGTAGCATACCTGTTCTAGCACAAAATAGCAGCCTCAAACATAAATACGTATTTCAGTATTTTCGTTGTTTCAAGTTTGTTTGTTAAGGTGTATTCGTGAGATTTGAGACGACAAAGAAAAGTGATCCTGACCGAGGATACATCAGTGATTTTTACTAGTTTGAATGCATAACGGATGGCTCGCTGTATATGTATGTTTGTGGGGGGGTTGTGTGGCTAAATGCTCAATTATTTATTTGCGTTTGAAGCCTATCAGTAAGGAATTATAATACAACAGTTATCGAGATCATAAAAAATATGACTAAATCTTTCTGCCCGTGGACAGCTATTATCATCAATGAAATTTGATTTGTGATGAAAAACTCTCTGCTACTACCATTATTAGATGCTATTTGTCTCTCAACCATCTATACTAGATGTTTAGGTTTGTCTACATGGAATCACTTCGATTTTTGTAAGTAGCTTATTCTGCTTTTTCGAATCATTTAGTAATCACCTCTAAAGTTTTAGTGTTACTATGCTATGCTACCGCTTGTTTGGCATCATATTAATACTATGCACCATATGTGGTGGTGAAAAGCTAATTGAGATGAGATATTCTCCCACTTTTGTTTGCTCTCTATCTCAATCATTTAGAGTAGTATAAAGATTCTCGCAAAGTGGTTTAGATGTATATTGGTGAGTTTCATTAAAACAGTGTTACTCTATGCAGGAAGATAAAAACATCCCAATAGGCTAAACAAAACTTATTTTTTACTAGCAAATTCTAGCTAACAAGTAAGCTTGCATGTGATTGAGTGTGATTGGCCCTATGTTGTGTTGACAGTAGTCTCAGTTTTACCAACACCGGTAGTATATATATATATATATATATATATATATATATATATATATATATGACTAATTGGAGTCGCTGGAGTTAATTTATGGGAGATCGGAAACTAATACTTAGTTTCCCACACAGTTCAGTAATCTTATGATTCTAACTGCGAAAATCTAATTTTTTATTACAAACTGTGCTCAGGATGTGTCGACAGAAGTGTCTATTAGAAAACACAAACCAATCTTTTATAAATTATTTGGCTTTGTCGTTTCACATCTGTCAGTTATGTGTGTCAATAAAATGTTAAATACAAAATTTCCCTAATGACCTTCATGAAAATTTATCCCAATACACTCACGTTGATTTTATTGTATTTGTTTCTGTTATTTGTTTTCGCAGGCTATGCGCCTAACGTTGTTGAGAGGAGATGGTGTAAGACTACCTCTGGTAGTTCCTGTTGATGCTCGTGTCTTGGAATTGCGATGGGCAGTACAAGATGCAGTTACTTCATACATGAACCATCTCTACAGTACACTAAATTTACCGAAAGATAAAGGTGAAGGGGGTTTCGCTGACTGTATTTCACCCACCAATATTCCTCCAAAGTCGATTAGCTGGCGTAATTTGTGGAAAACAAAATGTCTAGCTCTGGTGAACCCGAATAGTTTGTGTCCACCAGAAGGTCTTCCATCTATCAGTGCTAGACTAGATGTATTAACTAATAAGTTATCATATCACCAAATTCGTAATGGTGCAATGATCACTTTTGCTCCTCGGCTTAAGCGAAAATGAACGTCAATATGCTTTTGTTACGTCACTAAACTATATTTAAGTTTTCCTCCTTTGCGATTTGAATGTTTTTACCTACTAAATAAAGCGCACGTAATATTTGGTCATCATGAGCTATTTTTATAGTCCTTCTCTCTGTCATCAATGCTATTATTTTTTTCTAAATTAATACATTTGTTAAGCGTTAACCAATTCACTTAACAACTAAGGTGCCAACTGAGGGGTTTGATCTAAATTAATTAAATATTTGAAAAAGAACTTAGTCTGACGACCATACCTGTAGTTAGGAGTAGTATCTGTGCATGGTTCTTCAGTTTGCTAGTTTGTATAGGCTAAATATCACAATCTGGACAACCTAGTCAACATACCTCACAAAAAATCATAAATTTGGGGTAAAAATAGGGATGTCTTACTGTTTGGTTAGAAATTTTGACTGGTTTACGTATATTGTTAGTTATTCAGTATGTTTGGAGAAAAAAGATACCAACAATGATTATTCTTTAATCCCTCTTTGATCTTTAGTAATATGAGCGTCTTTGGTGCGCATGTAATTTGCACTATCCTGAAAGTTGACAACTTGCCTCACAGTGTTCCAAATCCCAACAGATGAGTTAGTAAGAAGGCATCTGACAAACCGTTACCAAAAATACACAAGCATTAGATCCTATATATTTAATGGTCTTAAGAAATTCGTTTCCGAACATTAGTCCTTACTACCGTTAACTCTGTTAAGCCAGATAATTCCATTCGGCTCCATGAAAACAAGAATGGCCTAGGGACGGCTGAAGGTTATTCACTTTAATGAACATACTCAACTAACGAGTTTACAGAAAAACGCTCGTTAAACCAGAGCTTTGACAGTAAACTCATATCGACTATTGACGTGTATAAATGTGGAAGGTTTGAACGAGTCAGCTGATATATTGAAAATAAGTATTGAAAATAAGTATTGAAAATAAATCGTTGGTATGGGGATTATGTTGTAATCGGATATGATGATGTGGATAAAGCTTAAGATGGATGGATTTTTAACTAAAACACCACTTAAATGACGAAGATTCACTCTATAAAATATACGATTGACAGTTCTACAGCTTACCAGATAAGATATTAGTTACCACCTATTTCAATCATCTGAATAAAAGAGTATGAAGTGAAATTAATCAAGAGATTGACGGAAATTTGTGTTTCTTGATTTCAGTTTTGGATTAGAAATTTTGGGAAATCGAAATAGTCTATTTGAAATTAATGTATATTCAAAGACATCTAAATCTGCCGATTGATAGATCAATAAGAAACCTTACATTTGTTTTGTAGACTGGAATTACCCTTAGAAATAATGTTTATAACAAGTTCCCCGAAAATTACATTTTATACATCAACACTCATGATAGTACTTAGAAGTAGTTTGGCTTTATTGAAACAATCTACTGACGAATAGTGACTAGAATTCACTGTGTTAACCATAGTTGTATTTACAAGAACAGAGTTTAGCTTTCCGTAAAATGTATTTCGTAGTTCAGTTTAAGTATTTACAAATTTAATATTTTGTGAAGCAATGTGATATGAATGATAACTACTGTAACCACAATTTTGGCAACAATCAAAATAAATGAATTATAGTGAATAAGTGTGTAAAACAGTGTGATTTTATTGTTCTATCGCTCGTAATATCTATTTGCAATTAACGTATTGATCACTTTCACCACCATGTATATCTTCAATCATATCCTGATGCCATCGGTTAAATGCTTCCGTTAAGCATGTCACAGGGCGGGATATCGCAGATTTTAAAGAAGAATTACTCCTGCGCCAATAAAGACGATATGCTCGTATAACACGTAACTAAAACTCCAAAATAAATGCAGTGTATTATGAAGCATTCGGTTCCCAACTCTTATAAATAGTTAGTATCTGAAAGCAACCGATCAGTACCTAACCAATATTTGCGATTTTCCATCAGCTATTATTGCGCTTGCTGTAAATTTTATGGATGATGTATCCTTATATAGAGATCTCATAATTGCGTTATAGATATATGTCCTTAAGTTGTAGACAATATCCAATAAGACTGCATTTATTATTAAAGTCCGGTTTGATAATTCAGTACTGTATTTAATGAGACTGGAAATGTACTTGCTCAATGGGAAGGGTCTCATAAGTGATGTTTCATAGCTTATTTCATATTCAAGATATTTCAGGTACCCTAGATTTCCAATTGGCTGACGATGATCCTAGTAAGCTCTGGAATGTGGAATAACATTTTATAAGAGACCACTAATAAATTGAGGAGTGCATATTACGTGGACAATCCTCAGTTTTTGTGCAAGCCCTGAAATATAATAAATATTTATACTTACCGGTTCGCTGTAGGTAAAAGTGTTCCCTGAACGTGTATAAAAGTAAAATCTGGGAGATTTGAGAGTACTATTTGAAGAGAACCTAGATTCTGTTACCAATAAATCATCTATATCTTGGATCCCAGAGTCCTGAGGAAGTCTCCTGAATATTCCAGTAAGAATGGATTCTTTGGAATGTTTTCCCTGTTCGTACATAAGAAAATAAATTATAATTGAAAACAGTACCATGTGGCAATTATCTAAGTATTTGCGTCCAAATTGCATGAACTACTTAGTTCCTTGTATGCTACGTATGAAACATTGTGGCCATCAGAATGGACGCGAGATTTCTGAGATAGTAATGAACAAGGTCGGAAGGATAAAACAAAATGGGCGAACCATGGCTAACTACCATCCACTTTTTTATTCACAAGTAAGATCTCTTTCAGAAAAAGATACTTTGCCAAATATGATTAGCAGATATAATAGTTGGATTGTTGTACTAGATTATCATCAGTAAATGTATTAAAATGGATCAAATTAGTGAAAAAATGATGAACTAATTTTCAGAAGTTTTTCGAAGTGATAATTAATTGATCAAGATTTTCAAAGATATTTTATCAAAACCGGAGCTCCAATAGCAAGTTCAGGGTAAAACGTTGGTATTTACAAAGTCGTCAAACACTATTGAAAAATTCTGTTAAATCTTACCCATTTTCCACTTCGATAAAATAAAACAATAGAGAAGTTAAAAAAAGCATTTTGATATCTCAATTCGTTTATCATTGATGTAGGTGTCTTGGATGAGTTTGTATTAGTCCGATAAACTGTTATTCCCGACAGAACAACAACAAAGGTAATTTACAAGGCGACATGTGAAGCATAGTAACTAATTTTAATGATATGTGGCAGTGAATGTAAATATATTTAGTCACTTAGCCCACTGACTATTAAATGTGATTTCCTTTCACTGATTTTTACTCCGGACTCGCTGGGAACGACTGCTTTGTAATTGCGTTGAACAAAGTATTATCTAGTCTATACTCTGGGTCGGAAATCCTGGATGTGACATGACGTATTATCGTAGTATACTTGAGAGAGAGAGAGAAAAAATTTCATGCCATCCGTTATATCATTTAACTACTATGAAAAAATGTGAGAAAAACAGCTTGAAAGGGACATATAAGATCGAGCAATGAAAATTAACCAACGATTTTGAGGAAGATAGGAAAGGAATAGAATTGAATCAATGCAAAAATTTATTGCGTACTACCTGTTGTACGAACTAATTCCTGATATATGAACTATTGTGAAGATAACTGTCTTTAAGTTGGGTCTCAGAAAGATTTAGATGGTCTGTAATTTTGTAATAACTTTATTTTAATTGGCACAATTTAGATTCATCAATGAATTAAGACATAAGTAAACTGGTAACATTTGGGAAGTATCGAATATGTCTGTTACGCAATATGTGTTACAAGATAAAAGATTTGTTTAATATCTTTAAAAGTTTATGTTCTGGAAATGAAAAGACAAATATGATTAACCATTTTGAGATAGTCAAACAGAAAAATAAGTCACTTCTTATTGCTACTTATAATAGAGACTGAATTTAGAACTGGTTTGGTGTGTTTTTGGGATGTCCGAGAAAGGCTGATGTGACTTATTTTCCCAGGATGAACGATTCTATAATGCACAGGATTGTCACGCACTTTACTAGATACCCAGGTGTAAGGCTTATCTCTCACAAGTTAAACCAACTCGGATTGAGAACGCGATATAGAGATGGATCAACGTATATTAAGTTATTACAGTTACAAAGGGCTGAGTAAAATCTGTATTACGCTTCATACATATCTGTCTAAATGCAATCGTTAACCAAACACCGTTCAATTTCACCGACATGTCAATGTCATACATGTTTTTGATCATCAGGGAGTTTTTTGGTATGTGACGATATCATTGGACCCAACGTCACTAGACTGAATAGTCTCTATGACATCAGTTATTCATTGCGTCGGAGTACGAAAATTACAAGTTTAATTTTATATAGGATTTAAGTTAGTTGCGATACAATTACACAGTACATACTACGTAATACATATATATATATATATGTACAAAACTTCACAGCTTTGATTTTTTAAAACCTAAAAATATGTTCGTATGGCGATATAGTCTGGTGGTGAAATGTTATCATAGTAAGTGAAAATATATTATAAATATTTGTGAAATGACGTTAAACAAACAAATTATGGATCGATCACTAATGTGCACAAATACAGGATTATATCTATTTACAAGACTCAGTGAACTATAAAGGTCCAATAACTAAGGTATGATACAAACAAAAATTATTATAAAACGGGACTAACTTTATTATTAGAGGTCACTCCGAATGTCCTATAATAAGGTGAAATTGGTTCATAGCATAAACTTTTTCTAGGACCAAGTCCTAACCCCATTGATCGCAATGTTAGTGATTCAGTTGCTATTTCATTGATCAAATCAGGGGACTTTTTAGAATTGAAAGAATGCGGATAACTATTATTTTCAACAATCGGTGCATAGTATGTCATTTCATATATACTATCAATATAGGTATACAGATCTCGACTTAAAATACGACGTATTAGAGACTGAGCTTGTTGAATTCGAGGAAGAAAATCTTTCGAAGTAACTTTTGATAATGATCCTCGTCCATAAAAAATATCCCATAAAAGTGAGTCATGAAGTTTAAGAAAATCATTCAAACTATCTGGATTTTGACATTTGAATGCCTCCATGCTAATAGATCGAAGATTAAGCACAGGTTCTATTAATTCAAGAGCATCAATAATCATAGCCTACAAAAAGGAGAATACAACAATATTCCAATATAGGAATACAAGTTTTGGAACGTCTGGGATGGTGAGTGTACAGTTGGTTGAAACCTATTAAAAATTTGTAGTTTGCATACTCTGGACTCAGGAAAGAAGGTCCATATGGGTGAATATGTCTTCGAATGTTGTATTTTGATACTATTCAGTAATAATCAGCTTTTCTTATAATAGTTTGAACAAAGTTGTTCAATGTAGTAAAGTTATGATTCATTTTATCAAGCCGCTTGTTCACAAATTTATAATTATCTTAGTATATTTTTAGTTTCACTGTGAGGGGCGTTTCTCAAAATATTAATGCCTAATTGTGTACGTGGGCAAAGAAAGAAGGTTATACAGAGGTTTTTGATTTAATTTAAAATAATTTAGCTATGTAGGTCACCCCCCAATAAAATGATTTTTTCAAAACTACAAGTATAAAAAAGGCAACTCATTGAAATACACAACTACTCTGAATTTCAAATTTAAAAAAAACATTGTATATATAGGTGAAACTATTCAGTAGGTGGGATGTTGGATTTATACAATTAAACAGTATTGACTTTATCTTTTGAACTGTTGTCAGAACAAAATAACGTTCAGAGTCATTTTTCAAAATCTCATTACAGTTTTGGTGAATCCCAGGATCTATTCACACACAATGAGTCTACAGTAATTTTAATTTAAACAAATTTTAAACTAGTTAATAACTTTAGCCTTTCAAAGAGTTTCAAAATTCCAAGCTTAGTAGCATCATCCTAAATCAACATTAGTTTGGATTTATTGAGTGTTTAAATAATGTCTTATACTGTATTTTCACCATTTTATCTATGGTGAGAACAGTGGACTATTTAGTATACATATACCACTGCCCTTTTTTTCCCACACTTCAGTTTAAACCATTAAAAAACTGCATGTATTTGAAAGACGAAATAATGAATCCTTTATTAATATCTGAAACAACAGAGAAACAGTTTAACTTACAGAAATAGCCGTCACTGTTTTATGTTGATAAACTTTTTGATGAAGATGCTGTCGTAAACTAAATGTTCGAAGCAAATTTTCCAATTCTGTATCTCTAAATGATAAATGCCAACATTTTGACTCATTTTCATCACCTTTGTCTTTATCAGTGTGTAAAAAAGGTCGGTAGAATCTTAAAAATCTATCAATATCCACACTAGTTCCACTAGCCCCTAAACCAGCATGCAGACAATCTCGAAGTAGATAATCCCATTTGTCAACATCCATACCATTTAAACTATTGGAGAGAATCTGGATTTATTAAGACAAAGTAAAATTTAATATTCACCATAATAAGTACAGATGACTAATTTGTAATTGTAATTTTTCAAAACTTATTATTCGATAATTGTTCACAATAATTAGAAAGTTCACATCCTTCAATCTCAAGTATCTCATAGTCACGCTTATATTATATTCAGAAGCATATAATTATCTAATATGATCTCACAGTATTACAACCGTATTTTAATGCAGATAAAGAATAGAAATCATTACAAAACCCTTCACTGAAACAAATAGTTATCCTAAGAGTTGTTTCTGTTACTAGTAAGTATACAAAACCAATTAACTATCTTCTCAAGTATTTAATGATATTAACCATTACAGTGATCAGGATCAACGAAGAAAGTTTAGGAGAAATTCCACCAATCTAATGTTACGGTTTTCTAAAAAAATAGAGAATCACAAATAAACTTATTTATTGAAGAGTTCAAGAACAGAGTTGAGTAGAACAACATGAACTTGGTTTTTGTCGTTGGATTCTTACCAACTGCTTACAATTTTTAACATTTAAAAAGCAAAATTAATAAAATCGTTTTAGAATACTTACGTAAAATAACGTTTTTGGATGTATTTGTGATCGCGCTTCAGCAGAGTACATTAAAAATGTAAAAAGAACTGGTGTCTACACAAAAATCGCATATATATAAACATTCTACAACAATGCTAGTGACAAAATTGAAATACAAATATCTAAAAATAATTGGTCGCGTAACGAGTAAACGCTAATGATAAGTAAAAATATATTAAGCTCAATTAGTTAAAAGTCAAAATTATTGAACCAGAAAAATAAAAAAAGGTGGTGCATCAATCAGTCAATTAAGAAAATGGATTGAAAAGAAACCAAATGATGCAGCGAAATCGAGTTCGTATTATAAGGTTAAAGAAATTGACACAACTATTGCATTTGGAACATATAAGGGAATAAATCAATTAAAAAACTAACATCAACATGAATATATAATTCACTTAGTAGTATATGCTCGTGAATAGGTTGTCTATTCTTAACTATATTTATATTATTTTAACTAAACGGTGAGAGTGGACGTAAATTATTATTCATTATTGTTCTTATTTTAATATTATCAGATGAAATCAATTCTTAAATCAAAGCGTCAGTATTGTAAAAGTAAAAAATAAAACATGAAAATTCAATATTGAATTTATACACAAATTATTTCCTACCATGTTACAGTCATATTTAAGTACTAAAACAAACTATATAAGTTCGAATAAACAACTATACTTTATGTGTATAGTATTCTCTCTTTTTTAACCAAATATTCAATTAATTTGTTTATCATAATATGTCACAACGAAAATGTAGCAATTTAAATCGAGTAAAATTCAGTGAATAGGAAAACTGATATTTACGCTGTAATATAATTTCCTATTATACTGAAGTGGTAAATAAATCATCAAAATAAATAGTCCAGTAAGTCTTCGATGTTGGTGTTGACCTCATTACTTTTACTAGACACAGCCAAGCTAAAAACGTTTGATCAAGTATCCACACCAGATCACCATTGGGTATGTCAAGTTACACATCCTTCGCAACAACTAGTCATATTAGATCACAAACTTCTCGATATATCGAATGCCTTCCATAAATGTCCATAAACTCCTACATTCCTGACCTCTGGTTTGATTGCGTTCGGGATCTTTTGGTCATAGAGGTGTTACAGACAAAGGCGTTGTCAAACTCTAAATATCAGTAAGTTCTTTAATATCACATTCAACATGTACACTATTATGAAGAAATCCGAGGTGATCCATATTGAAAAATCACACTGATATAACGAGGTTAACTTGTCTAAGTGATTTTTGAATTACTTCTATGCTTTTTAATGTGGTTAACAGAAGATTTGGAAATGTCAGATTTAAGAATTTATTCATTCAGGAAGATGAAAAACCATAGTGTTAGATAGAATCGGAATCAGTAATCTTTAAATAACTAGACCACAAACAGCGTACTTTTAAAATACAAGCATATCCTACATTAGAATTTATGTGTAATGTGTTCAAGCACAACTGATTTGATTTTGTTCGTTTAATATGTGTTTGTCTGTGAGATGATGTTTTTGTTGAAGAATTTTAAAAACGGCCAATACTGAATTTTTGATTGTTATCTTATGGTCATGGTATATATAGTCTTAAAATAAGTATCGACTCCGAATTTCCACTCACTTAGATTTACGTATTTATACATGTGGTGATCTCGGTTAAACAATATACTGTGGTGTTGTCTACTTATATCTATATAAGTAGTATATGGTGTGGGTCAGACATAGAATGTATTTTGGCAGAAGACCGATGAGCAAAGAACTGAAATGAAGCGCAATCGTTTGGAAAATGCATGAGCAATGGAATAAGAGAAGAAACAGTGAAGATTGAAACAATTGGTTGTTAATTTGCAAATTGACTGTTTATTGTTTGGTAATCAGAATTTACTGAGATAGTCTGTAATCTTTGCTTAAATACATTCGATTGTCCCCAACTATTGTTTTGTTCACTACAATACTAAGTACATCAACACACAGTTTTACCTTAGAATCTAATGTTTGAAACTTAACCTCAGCAAACAAATCAAATCGTAAAACAGCCACAGACCAATCGCCATAATTATCATTCACCAGTTACAACACTGTTAAAAAGATAGTAAGCAACCAACTTCACTCTCTTCAAATCCAAGACGATAAATCTACATATTTACATCAGTTCAGATAAAATAAGCGTTCGATTTAGAACAGATACTTTCAAGTATTGTGAATAGGTGTATTAAAATTAAGTATAAAGAGTTGAAATGGAACTTTACAACTGAGCTTCAACTGAATAGATGGTTATTAATGTAATGAACTGTTAACTACACATGAAAATAATTTAGTATTAAAAGCCGAAGTCTTTGACATAACGTAAACATAGTAATATGACAAAATTTATTACAGCTTTTAAAAATGTATATAAAAATTAAGAATAACTTACCTCATAAATAAAAGGTTTATTCTTCAATGAATCCTGTGTAAGTTCAAATTAAAGAAAATGAAATAAAATACATTAAATCGAGATAGTTATTTCTAAGATAATAATTATATAAAAACATGAAACAGCACCGTTGAATATAAAACGATAATTCTGGTTGTAAGCGGGACAAAGATATAGGCAATGTGTGCAGTAACTGATTTTTAGGTAGAAACTAATGTAATTACTAGTCTGCTTGTTTCTGATCGAATTCTATCAACCAGGCTGGAATGTAACTCCTATTTTAGGTGTCTTGAGATCACATGTACTGTTCTGATAGTAGATGGAAGGATATTTGCAGGAAATCTTGAGACTAGATTGCATACTAGTTTTCACTTATCAGTAAGTTGTATTTGCCTTCTTGGGGGAACTAGTGATTTTCGTCAGACCAACGTGGGTCAATAAAATCCGATCAATAATAGGATAACAGTTACGACTCTGGTCAATCATCATAAAAATCTTGGTCCCGTAGGTGGCCAATCACAATCCTGTTAGGACACTGGTAACCTCTGACTGTAACAATGGATAATGTGGGTTTGAGTCTTACGAAGCACATCACCATGATAATTAGAAGTATTCGAATTATTGTACTAAGTAGGAATCACCTCAACGGTGCAATTGAAGCCTAACAGAACTAGATTAGCGCAAACGAATGTATGGTATTCGGAATTCGTAATCTCCAGGTAATCAATTACAAAAGAATCATTAGCTCGTACGAATACCATAATCAGTTTACTCTAGATTATGCTAACAAGTTTCACCTCACATGAAATGTTCATTTAGGGCTTCGTATTGGCTATGGTCAACACAAACTGGTATAGACCAAATGTTTTTAACGAAGTTGGTACAGGAGTAAGCTGATAACATATATAACTACTTCCAAGAGTAATCATCACTAAGATGGAATTAAACTTAATTTTAGTGGTTAACGTTTAACCTTATTTATTGCTTACTTACTTACGTCTGTTACGCCTCGTGGAGGAGCATAGGCCACAAACCAGCGTTCTCTATCCAACCCTGTCCAGTTCTTTCCAGTTGTTATTCATCCTTTTCATGTCCGCTTCTATTTCCCGGCGTAATGTGTTCTTTGGTCTTCCTCTTTTCCGCTTCACTTCATCATTCCAAGTTAAGGCTTGCCTTGTAATGCACATTGGTGATTTTCTTAATGTATGTCCGATCCACGTTCAACGTCTTTTCCTAATTTCCTCTTCAGCTGGACGCTGGTTTATCCTCTTCCACAGAAGGCTGCTGCTGATGGTATCCGGCCAATGAATGTTGAGTATTTTGCGTAGACAACTGTTTATAAATACTTGTACCTTCTTGACGATGGATGTAGTAGTTCTCCACGTTTCAGCTCCGTACAGTAGGACTGTCTTGACGTTCGTATTGAAGTCTCAATTTGAAACTAGTTGACAGTTGTTTTGAGTTCCATATGTTCTTCAATTGTAGAAATGCTGTCCTTGCTTTGCGCATATCCCTCTAACTACACAAACCACGCTAGGCTGCATGACCGTAAAGGGATATGACTCCGTATATCTCGTCTCAGCAGTCACTATCCTGTTCATCTGGTCATTCTACTAATACATATTTAGCGATAACTCAACGCAAGCGACAACTTACACTGACTTCACATTTTATTATCATAATCAGTAGCAGTACAGCAATGAATATCAACCGTTGATGCAGTCACCATCCTACAGCTGGATTATTTTTATCCCACATGAACTTCAGGCATGTAAATTCGAATCCGCTCATCGCCAATCGACGTTATTTACTCTACTGCGGCTTATCAGAACATCTTCATATCTCACTGTTCTTTATCCTTATATTCAGTCGGCACCACAGACCAATTCCTGTCATATTCTACCTCACTTATTTACTCGATCTATTCCGTTGTCATACCCATAAACAATTTATTACTATTCACTTAGTATTGTTTGTTTGGATCTTACAATCGATGTGTTTAGGACTGCAACTGGTCAGTCTCTAATTGGCATATGTGCATACTGTGCGTATTGCCTCGATATACCTTAATTCACAAGCATGGTAAGCAGAGATGGATAGTGGCTAGCAGTGGAATCCAGTTTGACGCGCATTTCGTCCTATTTGGGACTCGTCAGCTGGATGTACCTGCATCTCAGAGTTGATGTTCACTCTGGGACTCGAACCCAGTACCATCGCTTCAAACGCCATCGCGTTATCCACTCGGCCACTGAGTCCTGATAGCCGCTTTAGCCAATTTATTACTATTTTCACGATATTTCGAATTGCTCATACGAACATGTTATTTTATCATCCGGACAGTCACGTTAAATAACATGTTAAATTTTTTGTACGCTTACTAATTTACTCATAGTCACATGCTAACATTTCCATTTCTATACTCATTTTGAGAATATTCATGTAGATTTTTACATAAGTATGACACTTTCGTTTAATACGCTCACCCCTCACATGACACTGTAATTTATCAGGTATTGTACAATTTTCTCCCTACATGTTAACACAATTCATACACCACTTCAGTGTTATTTTTCGAAAACAGACATTTTTTTATAAATGTGCTATTTTCTACAAGGGGGCTTGTAGTATCGTTTGGCATGCCCATATACTTTATTCTAGCTACTGGGCTAGCCAATTCACCTATACATTATGAGTCATATTTTGATCTTGTTAATTATTCGCTTATTAACCTTGAATATTTTTTAAATGAGCGTATATGTGTGCACACTTAGTATCTTATTCATCATGTCTTTCATTTTTGTCTGACTATAAATGTTGATTAACGCTTGCTTAAAATGAGTTGGCTTACCAGCCATCTCCAATGCGTCTTATTTGTGCTTGGCACGCTAACATATGCTCATAGCTTTATGGCCTACGTCATTTGTTAATAAAAATGTAGTTGCCCCTTTCTTTTGCCTTCTGATTCTATACACCGTTAAGATTGGTATGATAACGGTTATCGAGGTGAACTATTAACGAAGCACGGCACTACATTATCATTTAGTTGATTCATATCCCCTTCTCTTTCAGATTTTTCCACCGCCGTTGCTATTTCTCCCATGTATTTCTGCTTGTCGGCTTTAATGCATTTTTTCATTTCTTTGTTTGCTTCTGCTTACTCTGCTTGTGCCTTGACTTCCTCTGCTCGCGTTCGTCTATTGTGTGGAAATATTGTGCTGGCTATAACCAATTTGCTGAATGCACGTATACTTGTAAATCTATCCTCATTTTCATTTTTCTCTCCCAGTCCATGCCGTCCAATTATATCTTCATATCCTGTGTTGTCCGCCTGGGCTTTAGCATTTAGATCTCCCATCAAGATGGTGAGGTCCTTTCTTGAGCACTTAGCTATGATTGATTGCAGCCTCGAGTACAACTGATCTTGAATGTCGTCGTTGCTATAATTGGTGGGTGCATAATATTGGATAACATTCATTGTGATCCCCTCTTTCTTTGTTTCGAATGATGCTTTGATCATTCTGGATCCATGAGATTCCCATCCCAAAAGTGCATTTCGTGTTTCTATGGACAGCATTAGAGCAAATCCCTGAGTGTGTGGAGCATTTTACTCTTCTTGACAAGAGTACAGCAACATCTCTCCCGTATCTAGCCTTTGCTGACCAGCTTGTGTCCATAGGGCTTCTCTGATTCCAAGCACTGTCAATGTGTATATCCCCATTAACTCTAGAAGAGCTACAGATAGACTTAACCTAATTTATATAAAACCTAAGATCGTTGGATTCGGCCTCGAAAACAGTCAATTCTTATAATCTTTCAGCGGTTTCTAAGATTAAATTGTTGTCATCATAGATACTATTTTCAGGCTAAATTAAATTTATCTAATTAGAGAAAAATTATAATTTGTAACAAAGTCTACAAGATATGGCATCACGTTCAATTGAGTATATTAAATAAATTATTCAGAACGATTTTTAAGACATTACCCGTTGTGATAATACAGTACCAGCATCACCTAGTATCAGGCTACGTATGAGATTCGTATCAACGCCAAGATTATTTAATTCACTTTGTAAGGTAGATTTTGAACAAATAATTTGATAAAGTACATGTCCACTAACTGTTTCATGCTATACAGATGCGAAATGAAACGGGATGAAGAAAAAACTGGAGAAATTAGCCTGAATTAGTATGTATAAGGTAGAATTAAAACTGCGAAGTTTTTAAAGTATGTACAGAATCTCACACATAGTGTCAATGCCTTTTCGATGTTCGCTTGATCTAGGTAAATACCGATCCCATTATGGTAGGAGTATATTATTCGTTTGTTATTATAATCGTCACAACGTACCGACTACCCACACGACAACCTATGATCTACTGAGTACACTGAATAGACTTCAGTAAAGTATGTATTACTATCATATTATATTATGTTACGACAAGCACAGGTGATAGGGTAAATATGTATTACAAGTCATATATATCTGTCTATCCAGCCATTTAGGACGACAAAACAATCATCCCGCGTACCACCTACACAACACGACTTTCTCAGATATTGTTCGTGAGTATTCGGCCTTGAATTAATCTGAAAATCTCACCTCTATTTCTTATTATCACTATCTTTTGACGGACTTGCAACTGCAATCCATTTCAAGTAGTAGTGGTGATGGTATCAAATGTCTCATACTTCGGTTGGCTTGAGATCACTCACAACATTTCTGGATTTGTAGTAGATATGTGTCTAATAATTAGATTGTTTCGAACCCTTTAAACAAAATTTTTTACCAAGTCTGTTTTTCATTCATCCATAAATCCATTTCGACCTTCGTGGCCGAAAGTCGCGTACAAAGGTCAAATTGCCTGCTTTAAACTAAAGAATTTTTAGTTATTTTCAATAGGTCTAGCCTTCACTTTCTTCTTTGAAAAAGGAATCCTGCATTGATAAATCGATACATCAACATTTACTTTAAATGAGCAGTAATCCATATAATTAAAAAGGGGCTACAGTACCGATGAATTAACTAAATCACAGATTTTATTCACAGGTATATTCCATAATCCTACATTATCCATCCAATCAATACGTAACAGGTTGATATTACAATTTCTCGTTATATAACATTTTCCTGAACCCTTCTTATTACCAAGGGTAAGACTCAAGAAAGACACTCTTCAAATCGCTGTCTCGGTACTCGATTCACATTTTGCGTTATGAGATGAAGTAGTTTCAACCAACCCATTTTGATCCATGTGGCTTAAGATATCATAGTAATATCAGAGCCAGTATCGACTTTTAACCTAATTGATCTACTTTTGTAATAAGCTGTCATTATTTTTCTTTTCATAGAAAAGTGTATTCTACGCATAAAATAGGCCATTGGGATCGCACGAAGTTTCCTGAGTTATAGCCGCTTCATGATACCGCTTATAATTGCGTGGTTGGTCTAAATTCTTCGATCCGGTTCTTCAATGAGCCGGAATACGATTTATTATAATCACATTTAAGATCAATTTTATTCGAAGTGGCTTTTCTGGATATTATAGTAACGTTTTTAGTAGTTGAGATCATGAGTCAATTGATATCCACAAAAACCCCTTCTGATATTAATCAACATACGCTCATTAGTGACTAGCTTCAAGAGGTACTTCCTGGAGTTCTAGTGAGAAGCAGTGACCATTGGAGTTTAACCAGGTCTGTTGTGAGATACTAACTCACTGAAGACAATCGTGGATGTGTCGCTCAATTTCGTGGATCGTTTAAAGTTAAACATTAACACCGTGGTCTACAGGTTCAGCGCTCGCACACGAGACTGATAGGTCCTCTGTTCGAATCTCACGAGCGCACTGCCACTGAGGAGTCCCACGATAGGACGAAACGACCGTCCAGTGCTTCCGGGTTTTCCATGGTGATTTAGCTTCAATTGACTCATGGTCTCAACTATTAAAAAATCAATTTTATTCTTAAAATAAGAGAATTAAGCGGATTCGTACCCACTCTAACACCAAAAATTTGTCTGTGGTTTACCTGGGCTCTGGTATTGCGTTATCGGACTACTCTTGTTTCTAGGATAACATTTCCTCAGAGAATCGTTTTCCAGAAATGAACTATTGCTCTAAATCAATTGTAACGTAATCCGTGGTAACTGTTGGGATCTATGTATGGTCTGTTATTATATATATTTTTATCGTTTAACAATTAAGTAACTATATTACATGTATATTCATATTCCTTTTATTATAAGCTTCCGTTTGACCTATTAACCACTATTATACGATTAACTATTCCTGAATTATTCCCAAATCATTAGCTAGTCAACCACAGCTACTTTTTGGCCTAGTTTTGTGTAATTATCATTTTCTGTTTTATGGTACGATGAAGTCTGTTTTGTTTGTATATAAACCCAGTATATATGAAATATATAATTCATATAACAGAGGCTGATATTTGAGTTCTGGACTGAACCGGTTGGGCTAGGCGAGAAGCTACTATCTCCAAGGTCCAATAAGAACTCTAGGCTGCTCGTAAAGGTTTATGCGTCATTGGTCTGGTCATATAAGTCAGTGTCCCTAACTGGCGATATTATTTCGTGATATATTAATGCTGCTAATCTGTCGTTCTCCTATTTGTTTTAAACTATTTATACACATTTTCGTGCACTTCTTTTGAAAACATTGTTTTTTAAGCATTTTCATCATGTAAACTAAATCTCATTATTAGTATTCTACATATTGCTGAGACTTTTCTAATGTACCGGGAATTTGAATACATGATACTAAACAGATCACAGCATATAGTACTATAAATGTTATCATTTTGTAAAGCCTCATAACAGAAATCGAGCAGTCCTATGTACATAATATCAATATACGTTTAGTCACTTGACTCAGCTTAAATCCCCATAAAATAAGTATACATTGGACTGGCTGAAATCGAGTGTAGAGATTAGCTAATCAGAATCGAGAAATATCTATTTAAGTTTTGGAAACTTAAATTTCGATGGCTTTTGCTTTTCATTACAAAAAGTGCAGAGTAGAAATACCTTTTTATGATCGTCAGGATGTTTAACATTGTTTGTGAAGATTTATTATGTCATCACAGAGACAAATTACAGTGTTCAATGTACAAAGTGCTTATTTTTTCAAGTACAGATTTTACGCAACATGTGAACGAATCAGTCTTCGTCCAATTTTATTTTGTTGATAGTAGATTCAGAAAAATCCATTTGATTACTAATTCAGCAAGTAAGTCGTAATTGGAATAGTAAATATGATAACGATTTTTATTTATAATTTCTTCATATCGGAATGGCAACAACTATGTCCCATAAATTTCATCTGTACAAACCCTCAGCGAATTTGTCTATAAAGATTTCTTAAATAGTATTGAATTTCCTATAGAACTATTTGTGTTTATGAGAAAACCTCGGGGACAAACCTACAGGGTCGATAAATTCCCAATTGGACTGATGATGTATGCATCAATGACTAACATTACAGTAGGAGAACCGGTATCTTACCCTGGAAAACGAATAAACTTTCTAAAAATCAATAAATCCCCACAAGTCCCATTATTTCTGTTGCGAAAATTTTTTGGAATACGTAGACTCTTTTCATTGGTTGAGGTGATAAAATCAGGCCGTTATATTGAAAATCGCCCAAGCTCATCCCCATAATATACATAGTCGCTTTTTCCGGTTTGATTTACATTGATTCAACAGTACACTAAGTCAAATGTCTGAAAAGTACATTGAACATTGAATCACGTGGTCATTTCATCATCATCAGCTTTATAAACAAACTAGATGGTCCGATAAATGGGTGACCTTGACTTATTTTCACATCTAAATGACTCATGTTAGCATTATATGTCTATGGAATGACAAGTTTTCCAAATGAACGATACAATAGTGAATAATAGACGTAAAACACTAGGTAGAATCATATTTAGGAAAAGCCCAGCCCGACATCAACAGTAAATACGTCAGTACGATTTTAATTAACATTTGTTGGAATTAACAATGATCTTGAATTAGTGATTTCTAGAAAGCATAATTATCGGTTTGGCGGTTTTAATAAGCCAACATACTCAGAACACATTACAAGAATTGACGTTGTTTCGTCCCAAATACTTTGGCTTCTTCCTAAGGCACTTCTTTAGTAAAATGAAAGGCTCTAAGGTGGTCTAAATTAGTCTCAAGAATCAGTAAAGAATAAATTTGGCAATAACGACTAGAAACGTAAACACAAATAACTTTCCCAATGTCTTCACGATACGTCACAGATCTATCAGATTCATTTATACCCTAGCGTGCAGCTCCTCTGTAGTTAATTTGAAATTAGAAAAACGAATCTCAGAACGGTAAAAGTTGTATAAAAATCAAGCACGGATTTTTCAATGTTAATTTTTCCACACTTATTATAAAAGTTAATTCACTTACATTATATTCACTATATTCTGACCCGCCCCTTTTAACGAACTCTTCCCATAAATGAGAAAAAGGTCCATGACCTGATTTGAAATAAAAAAACAAATGTTCATTCAACAGTTTATAGTTATTATTCGTTTGTCTACAAAGTTCATGGTTTTCAAGTAATTCATCTTCATTAAATACGAACTAATCTCCATAAGAAAATGATGCGACAAACGCAATTGTCATTGAAATATAAAGAATGCCGACACCTATTTTACTACTTTAGTACAGCGAAGTTTCTCGGTAATCAAAGGAAGCTGGATACTTACGAGTGTAATAGTGAACATTGCATTTAAGTGAGCTGTGATTCGTACTACTAGCAAATCGGATTTCACAATAAAAGTTTTTTCTTGACTTCGTAAGTCTAAAGTGAGTTATTTGCTTTAATGACTGTTTTAATGTCACTTTTCTGTTGAGTACGGGATTATAGTATGGAACCGTCTTAAAATGTACGCCAATACTTGTTTAGGTTATAGAGGTGCTTCAGCAATATTTTTACACTTATTGTATCCGTATTCCTACATTTCATCTGTTAGAAGCTAATTTTCGTATTGTTTGGACAAACTGAAGCGCTACAACGACAAGAAATTACTCGTTGCAATGCTTCATTATTCATTGATGAAATGTCAAATTATTTTGCAAACATTCTGTATCCCTAACCTTTTTCACCATCACTGATAACACTACTAATGATACTACTTTGATATTCAACTTGATGATTCCATTCTACTGTGGTGATAAGGTGTGGGAACTTGAACCAAAGTATATTATGTCATGTTTTACTTTGTTTACGACTAACTGAATATTGTATATATCGTTAAGAGTAGTATTAGAAATTGAAAGAAAACACGATGAAAACATTCGAAAATTTCAAAAGCAAATGATATAAACGGCAGCTAACGTGTACATTTCGGTGAAATATTCTGAAAAAATTCACCAAAACGATACTAAAAAAAGTAGTTGAACTTGTGAGTAATCTTAACTGAAAGTCAAACAAATCTCTAATTCCTCCTATATTTCCACAATCCCGTAGCATGTTTCAAATCATAATGATCATTCTTGAAATGAACATAAAATGTTGTCGAACTTCTTAAGTTTCAGAATTACTAACTGGAAATTAAAACAACCCTGCTTTTATGCAATTAACTAATCTCGAATTCATTTTTATAGCTACCAGTTCGCTTGTAAGCACTTCATATAATCTCGCCAAGCGACCTTTCAAAGTAGAAATTAGGAAAGAGATATTAGCAGAACAAAAAAACGGTAGTGTTAAAGAGTTAATCAGAGTTCGAATATTTGGTTCATACAATATCAAACATTTAAAATTCAAAATGTAGAGGGAACGAGCTATTAAGTAGAGAATCTGGTAAATTGAATGAAGAAAATATAAGTTGGTCATGGTAGACCTGAGCAAATTGTAGCACCGGTTCTAACTTTTATCAAAAAACACGTATCTCTTTTTATGAGTACACTGACATAGTTCAGTCTTCTAAGTGTCTTAAGTGATAAGAAAAAAGTGTTTCGGATGAACAGCACTCCTTTCAACCGTAAGATTTCGATTTAGAACTGCTCTGAGTTGATGTCTAGTGTGAATTTTGAAAAGGAAACTAGGTGCGTTGACTACTTTTCATTGGTTCTTAAAGGTCGTTTAACGAATAGACTTGTACCATTCAGTAAACACAATTTCTCAGGTGATCTCACTTCAGAACGTTATCATTCCACTGAGTGTGATGGATTTCCAGTGCCTAGTGTACCAAAATGTTCATATTGTAAGTGGAAATTTAAAACACTCAGAAATTATGTTGTGTGTCGACTCACCTAAATCATGGCATAAGGCAGCAATTCTAATGGCTAACTGTTCTGAGTAGCTCAAAGTTGGACCTGAGTAATTTTTATCATTGTGAATAGTCTCAAGCAACTTTTTGGCCATATGATAAGTACCGATCGAATGTTCAAATCGCGAATGTTGACAACTTGGGAAAACAAAATAAGCAATACCTAACTGCTTTATTTCTCGAAGACGCTGAAATTCAGGGGAATCGATCAACTGAACAGCTAGTGACTCCAGCTCTATTACACCATGAACTGCGTCTTGAACAATCTGTATTATAAATTAGAATGTTCAACAACAGAGTGGTTTAGGTCATAATTCATTATTTTCTTAAATAAGTACTATATAAATCTTAGTCAATTGAAGATTATAAGTTCCATCAGCACACCAGTAGTGAATAAATAATCTAATTTCTGTATAAATGAAACACCCAAATATTGTCTATTTCCATATATAAATTATTTATGCAAAATACTAATCCGCAGAATTAAAACTCCGGGAGTATTGACAGTATTTGATGAGGTATGTTTGAATTAAATTGAATTACTGATGATTTCTGTCATAAATACGATCCATACTGAACGTCTCTACAATACGTACTCAGGTAATCATGAAGCTTTGTTATCCAGAGCTCTTTGGTTCAAAGTGCTTATTGAGGAAGCCAAATTATGATAGAATATCTGATTATATTAGAACTGGAAGAAGAGCATACCCCAACTATTGCAGAATCTTTGATTTGTTACATAAACTCATACATTTCCCAAAGTATTACCCGTGTGTATATGGACCAGTGAGCAATGTTGAAATTTGGGGCAGCGTACCAAATAATGGCAAACCTATAAATGAGGTAGAGAATCTTTAATGAATGAGGTTATTGGAACACGTATTACATATGTCTAACCACCCTACACCTCGATGATTGATGTTGTCTGGTAAAGGAGTACGCTGATAGAAAGCTACGGATGGCAAAACCAAGATATGACATCAGTCAGCGAAGTCACTGCCAAATTGAGCCATATTAAAAGACCTACATTACTTGGTTAGGACCTGTGCTGTCATCATAACCACTAGTTGATGATTTATGATGACACGGTGCAGAGTCGGTAGTAAATCCTAAGTTTACAAATCATTTTATTATTTTATATAATTATTTCACGAATTCTTATTTTGGTCTCGAATCGCATTCTTTATATCTAATCTTTTTCTATACCACTTAAATGTTGCTAAACCTTTTCCAGAATTAAACTTCGCTCTATTATTATAAACAGGTCTTACTTGCAGGTCATTTATATATAACCACTTTGTATATTTCAAAACAGGTCACCTTATCACCTGGTTTATGCTCACGACTATGCTACAAAGTATTGCTTCTTCGACCCCAAACACGGGGTTTTAAGCTGTAAATGGCAATACCGACACTTTACTAAACTATGCCAGAATGCTTTTCAAGGTAAATGAAAAACTATAATATTTCAACTAACGTTTTGATAACCCAAAACAATAACTATCAATATATTGTCAAGAGTATAAAATTCCTGAGAATTTTCTCAAATGAATGGAGAATGTCCTTCGTTCGTAAGCGACTGAGGATCAACTCTTACGTCCCTCCTGAAAAAATTGTACACAAAGGGGCGCTTTAGGAAACCTTACTGAATAAACTATTATTACTATTTTTAGTAAACACGCCATCTAATGTCACCCAGTTCCTCTTGACATATATGCTGACATGAACAAAAACACGAAAGGTCATTTTATTAAACTAATCTCACTAAATGAATAATAAGCAAATATGTTACTAGCATGAATGTGAATTGTCTCAAGTTTCCACCTACCAGCACAGTGCGGTGAAAGTAAAAATTTCGATAGGGCATGCAAAAGCTTGCACAAAGAATTGTGCAAACTTCCCCGCAACTGGAATTGGTAAATAAATTCTCAAAATTAATAGTCTGTAAGTCTTTGCTGTTGACCTCATTAGTTTTACTACATACACCAAAGCTAAAATCGCTTGGTTCAGTATCGACACCAGACCATCAATGAGCAAGTTGTGTTACGTATCCATCGTAACAGCTAGTCAACTTAGATCACAAACTTTTCGATATATTGAACGCCTTCCAAAATATTCTCAAACTGCTTTACTTTTGATTTCTCGTTTGATTGGGTTTGAGATCGTTCGGTTATAACAGTGTCACAAAGAAAAGCGTTGTAAAACATTGGATATCCTTGGCACCTCAAGAATCAGTAATGTAGGGCTCACCTTCAGAAATGATAGTGATAACACGTCAAGGTAGACAGTGGCCAAGCATATATAGTATGCTTCCCATCCCGCGCCCCTACTGATAGATTTACTATCCTTATACGGCATTTAACATCCAGCTTTAGGGTCACTTACTCGCTTGTTTCGTTTTTTTATAGATATTCTGTGTTTCTAAAAGGTGCTTCACACAGCCGTAAAACACAATATTTGATTGCTGTGCACTATACAAGACCCTTGGATTGGTAATGAGCATTTCATCTACTCCACAGGTAAAATCAGTTGAAAAAAGCCACCGATCATTGCGAATCCATGCCATAAGCTCTGACTTTGGTCGTGTTTGGGTAAACAGCCTCTATAAGTTTTACGTAGTTTCTTAGCACATATTTTAACGTAAAACTCCCACAAAATGCTGAGGGAATCTAATATTGTTAGGTGTCGGCACGCCAACAATCCGAAACCTCTTGTGAGACAATATTTGATCATTCCCTCTTTCGTGTTTACCGAAAGCCCAATTCTCCAGAGTTGACGCATAATTCGTGAATTTGAAGTAAACTTTGGGGAGCTATTGATAAAACAACTTTTTCTGATGAGCTAGGAAACTCCGCATAAATATTCCAATCTTCCGCAAACGTTCTACATTTTCTAAATGATCATTTTCAAAGCCCATACAATTTCAGCAATATATTCCAATTAAAACATATCCATTTTAACAAGGAACTGTCAATATTTAAGATGCAACTAGTTGATAAATTACTTACATTAAACGTAACAAAGCAAAATTTATGTATTAAAATTAACATTACCTTTGAAGACATCTTACTGTTGTAGAATGCTGGGACTATCGTTGGAGTAAGTCTTCAGACTAGATGACAATAGGCTGTTCACTTTATTAGCGTTGAAATAACTGCGACATCCCAATTGACCCAACCAGTTAATTTGTCAGTGGTTTCGACACTAAAAGTCGTTTTAATCCCACTGTTGCTAACGTTCAGCTACTAATCGGTCTCGAGATTGTATCACGAAAACCAAATGTCGCAGGTAAACACCATTAGAAACACATATAGCTTGCGTCAAGATAAACAATAACAACGAAAATTGATATCTTGGTATGAAAGCGTATACATAACTTTGCACAGTCGTGAGATTTTATTATAAAGTCAGGTTTAAAGGGGCTAAAACCTCATAGTCTGTTCTCTTACAAAAATTCTAGTTGTTCTACGTAGGGTATGGTCTACTTTCTATGTTTTAAATATTCCTTGTCATAATATATAATCGCGCAGCTTCTTCGGTGAGAAAAAATCTCAAGATTATCTTCCAGTTACTGAGAATCTGAATCTCCTTCAGATTGAGAAACTAAGTTGCATGGTGAGTGAAATGTCTATGAACCTCGGCCAAATAATCTATAAGGCTAAACTATTTCTACGTTAGACGATTGATCATTGACCGTCTGATAGTCTAGCAAAGAAAGTCAGGGATATGGGTGACTAATACAAATTGATCAGTTACACACTGTTGTGACATTGTGTGAAGAGAGTTTTTGGTACGAAAGTGGCAGCTGCGGCCTGGAGTGACTGAGCGTGTCGCTGAGTTGTAGCTGGTAAATAATCAGGACACACACCAGACCGGTTGTGTTTCTGGATTTAATTACAATTATTGATAGCCAAACGCGTAAAAATTCGTAAGCTGAGTCTTTCACCCCTTACCTGTATACCTCGTATAACTAATATAGTTGTGGACTGATCAGTGTAGCAATGGTTTTATTCTGTATTTTACTCACTTTTACTGACATTTTTTGAAAATATTTACATGTTTATTCTGTTCTCTTGTCATAAGTATCTGAGTGCCACGATAGGTATTTACTGTGAGGTATGTTGTCGACCGAAACACGTAATTCCCGACAACTCGTATAGTCAGAAAACGTCTGCGCAGATCATCTACACTGGCGACCTACAGAGCAATAGTGACATGGTTCACAGATTCGTAATGTTTTTGGCCTTTGAAAAAATTGGTACTTATTTATGTATCTCCTGTAAGTAGCACTGTTTTGCCTTGTGCCTACCAAAATAGTTGGAAAAAAGATGACCTCAGTACTCACTTTTGACAACTTTAGCCACCCATGACAAAAGCAAAATATCCGTCTGTCAGTTAAGGGACGAGTTTACTGCACAGCAATTCATTCTGATCTACTGTACGGCTGCAAAACGTGACCATTAGGAGTAGAAGATGCTCGTAAGTTACTAGTATTTGACCATAGATGTCTTAGGAATATTGCTCGCATCTGCTGGAATCACTGGATTAATAGTGAGGTTAGACGTAGGGTATTAATGGATGACGGTAATTTAGCTGATGAGGTTGTGTAGTTGTACACACCTTCTGTCTTCCCTTAAACTACGTGATTAAAATAGCTTCATATTTTCTTCCTGTACTATATCATTATACATAATCCGTCTTTTATATAATACCACGACTGAATTAACTACTTCTATGAATCCGGTGTTCATCTTATTGTGCTGATGAAGTTATGGCAACTTTTACAGATGGATGTATGTACCTGGTTCTACGTTCGAGCTGACTGACTTTAGACAGTTAATATTTTTAAGTTTTAAAATTAAATGACACAAGAGGCAAGTCCACTGAGTGCCATTAAACTACCAGGATGTGATGTCTTTTGACTTATTAGGAGTTATTAAAATCATAATTTTAACCTTTTATGATATGCATAACCAAATGTGTGACTTGAGAAATAATAATAATTCGGGTGGATTTCAAAGTGCATTTCCGTGTCCATTTAGAGTGTAGTGACCGGCCAGTCTCGATAAGAACACGATTGGAATAACGGAAACAATTATTATTATTGTAACCAATTGTACCAGAGATTGTTTTACTGTATTTGTTTAACTGTATCAGTTTCACTTCTGCTTTTGCTTTCCGTCTTGTTTGGTTCGAACTTGCTCACGCACTGCCTGTTCGCCTGTACTCTTTGGCACGTCTCGGTATTATTTCGATACCACGAGATCGCCAATAAATACAATTGATTTGGATTAATAAAGTCTTCTGATTTACGAGCTATTAAAGGAACCAAGTCGTTTTTGGGCGCGTAAACGAATTGTAGTGGTGATCATAGTCCGTCTTCGACTCGACATCCACTGCAAACTGGCGATCCCGACATACATGACATCACGGCATCACTCAAGGGCACGACAATTTTTTCCAAGATCGATCTGGTACGAGCATATCACCAGATCCCAGTCGCTCTTGAAGATATAGAGAAAACTGCTATCACGACTCCTTTCGGTTTATTTGAGTTCCTACGAATGCCATTTGGATTACGGAATGCTGCTCAAATTTTCCAAAGGTTTATCGATAGCATCGTACGAGACCTAGATTTTGTTCACGTCTATATTGATGACCTGCTAATCGCATCATCAAGCGTAGATGAACATTATCAACACCTAACGCTACTATTCCAGCGCCTTTCGGATAATGGAATAATAGTCAACCCCGACAAGTGTGAACTCGGGAAGAAGGAAATAAAATTCTTAGGTCATGTTATTAAGCATGAGAGTATTTTACCTTGTGAGGATAAAGTACGTACGATAATGGAGTACACTGTACCATCCACACTCAAGGAACTGAAGGCATTTCTCGGTTTGGTCAACTTCTACCGACGCTTTATTTCGCACGCGGCAGAACAGTTACGACCGTTAACCGATTTACTTCGCGGTAATCCACGCAAACTGGAATGGAATGACGCCACACGTACTGCATTTTCAGATGTCAAAACAGCCCTAGCTCAAGCCACACTTCTCGTGCATCCTGACCCATCAGCCACGCTTAGTATAGAGGTTGATGCATCGGATTTCGCCATAGGAGCCGTTATGCAACAGAATATCTCCGGTAGTTGGCAGCCCCTCGAATTTTTCTCACGACGCCTCACTCCCACGGAGACGAGATATAGCGCTTTTGGTTGCGAACTGCTAGCAGCCTACTGCGCCATCAAACATTTCCGGCACGCTGTAGAAGGTCGTAATTTCATCCTATTCACCGACCATAAGCCCTTAACGTATGCCCTGCATACCAAGTCTGACCGCTAGTCACCACGAGAGTGCAGACATTTAGACTATATCTCTCAGTTCACGACAGACCTTCGTCATGTCAAAGGCGAGTCAAACTGTGTTGCTGATGCTTTATCACGTATCCAACTGAATCCAGTTACTTTGCCAGTGCTCGATCTACCTGCTATAGCCGCCGCCCAAGCAAACGATACTTCATGCACGGAAGCACAACAGTCTACGTCCCTTCAGTGCCGGGAAGTACCCCTAGCTACTAGCTCTGGTATTACCCTATGCGATACTTCCACGGGCCTCCCTCGACCCATCGTACCCTCCGCTTATCGCCGTCTCGTCTTTGATGCCCTTCATGGTTTATCTCATCCTGGTATCGCAGCCACTTTACGCCTCATCGTTGCACGATACGTCTGACCGTCCATGAATAAAGATGTGCGTAAAGCAATGCTTACAATGTCAACGATCAAAAGTGCACAGGCACGTAGCTGCCCCTATCGGCACTTTCGCTACGCCTGATGCTCGCTTCGATCACGTTCACATAGACATTGTAGGACCATTACCACCATCGCACGGGTATGATCACATACTCACGTGCATTGATCGTTTCACAAGATGGCCCGAAGTTATTCCCTTCACGTGGGAATAACGTGAAGGGGGGAATTTTTCACACCACGGAGCAGCACTAAGTTCGGCGAATCAGACTATGTCCAACGACTATCTGCATTCATGCGAACACTGACTCCGGTGTCAACTCGCATACAACATCGACAGGTCGCTCTCCCTCGAGAGTTATCTACCTGTTCACATGTTTTCATACGAGTAGATTCGGTACGCAAACCTCTACAACAGCCTTACGAAGCTTCTTTTCACGTGATTTCCCGTCACGAAAAGACCTTCAAGGTTGATCGACATGGCCGCGTCGAAATCGTCGGCATTGATCGTCTGAAGCCAGCACACGTCGATGACAGTGCCCTACCTGATAAGCCGAGACCCAATGCTAAACCCATCAAAGCTTCTAGCGGGATCTCTACATCTACTTCGGATCCCACGCTAGATGCACCTGAGACCTCATTCTCACGCCCCAGTCAACAGCACTTGTCATCTGCCCCGTTTACTGACGAGACTTCCGTCTCACGTCCAGACCAGCAGACCACACCGCCCTTGACTGTGGATGAGATTGCAGGCTCACGAGGTTCGAACGAGACTACCGTCTCACGTTCCGGTCGCCGAGTACGCTTACCCGTACGCTTTCGCGACTAACCTCATAACCAGCAGCGGATACAGTATAGGACCTTAACCCTATACTACACGAATGCTACAGTTTTCTCACATTTTCTTGTTTACCCCGAGCCTACGCCTCCGACCATCGCTGTTACGGTATCGTCGACTTCAGTCAACTTTGGTGAAAGCTGGCCTGATCACCCACGCTCTAGTCAACGCACTCAGTCGACCTCTCTGGCTACAAATACGTATGGTATACATTTGGTCCCGAACATGGTTATCCTGGTCACATCTGGTTCCTTGACTCAATCTGGTTTCGTCCTACGTCTGCAGCGTTTCTGGTCCGGACCTCTACGAACGCAACCTTCAGATTCTGGATACAAACCACTCTGGTGTAGCATGCTAATCCAAGCAATCAATACAGTACATTCCTTCTGGTACCGTTCTACGTCAAAGACTTTTGGTGGCAACTCGAGGATCAAAGATCACTTCCTGTTCTGCCAACGCCTTCGTCCTACAATTGCACGTTTCGCGATCAGTCCCACGAATAAAACCGCTACGTATCGAAAGTGTAAATCCTTTCTAGCGGGGGGCTCCTGTAGTGACCGGCCAGTCTCGATAAGAACACGATTGGAATAACGGAAACAATTATTATTATTGTAACCAATTGTACCAGAGATTGTTTTACTGTATTTGTTTAACTGTATCAGTTTCACTTCTGCTTTTGCTTTCCGTCTTGTTTGGTTCGAACTTGCTCACGCACTGCCTGTTCGCCTGTACTCTTTGGCACGT